GGGAAGTGTGCAGGGATGAACACAGCTACAATTAATGTTAACTATAAGGTGTCATGTTTTTATCTTGTGAACACCCAGCCGAAAGGAAGGTGAATCCCTCCTGCCACGTACCAAGGCAGGAGTTGGGTGGTTGCTGAGAGAGGGTGTCTGCCGGAAGAAGGAGGAGGGAGCTGGGCGGGGTTGGGGGATTTGCTGGAGGAGGCACGATTTCTCAGGCAGGCTGCAGTCACCTTGAGCAAGGTGGCCTCTGAAGCTGGAAATGTAATCACGACTGGGCCCCACCTAGGCAAAGTCCAGACTCAGGACCAGAGAGGCTGGGAGAAGACCAGGGGCTTTCCTAGAGTGTCAAGGCCTCATGGAGTGTACCCGGAAAAGAAATTACTTAGCTTCATCTACAGGGCCTTTGCCTGAAAGAAATCAGTTTCCCCTCTTTAAAAAGAGATTTAAAAAAAAATTTCAATCACAGCCGGCCAGTTTGGGAGGCTGAGGCAGCTGGGTCACCTGAGGTCAAGAGTTCGAGACCAGCCTGGCCAAGATGATGAAACTCTGTCTCTACTAAAAATACAAAAAAAAATTAGCCAGACATGGCAGTGGACATCTATAATCCCAGTTGCTCCAGAGGCTGAGGCAGAGATTGCTGAGATCGCACCACTGTACTCCAACCTGGGCGACAGAGCGAGACCCCATCTAAAAAACAAAAAAAAACACCTCAATCACATTGCACAGAGTACTTCACTGTGCTGGAGGGTGGAAGGCCTGGGGATCAGGCTTGTAAATATGCATCACAGCATTTCCAGTCACCAGCTGATCACCCTGAACTGGACATCTCCCCTCCCGAAGCCTCAGTTTATTCATTTGTAACACCTCACAGTAATCCCTTTCACAGAGTACTTCAACAGATTTGGGGAAAAGGGGACAGGTCAAATTAGATAATTGTACATTAAAAGGGCTCCATAGTCTGCAACCTCTCTGTGAGTAGCACAGTATCCCTTATCAACCTGCCTTGTAAAGATTGCTGTGAGAATTTGACTCCCAGATAAACTAAGGGAGTCACGAGGGCAGCCAGCTATCAAGTCTGATTCCTTTGTGTTATTCTCAAAGGCAAGCGTGTTATGTAATTCTGCTTATCGATTAAGGCCCCCAAATGTTGGTTGAATAAGTAAGTCATTGGTACATAAAGGTGAATATCACAAAACAACCTAATGTTTCGTATTAGTTAGAGCCAGGAAAGACCTTCTCCCAATGTCAACTGTTACTAAAATGGTCTGCTCTGCTTCTAACCTTCTGTCCAATTGCAAATCACATCATGTAACATTTTGGCTCTTTTAGAGCAAAAACCATGCCTTAATCATTCTGTTTAACATAAGCTTCTGGTGGGCAAGGACTTGGATTTGCTCAGAGCCAGCACCTGGAACAATTTGGTAAGACTCCATGAGGATTTGGTAAATAAATGAATGATTTCTAACCCTTAACACATAGCTACACCTTCAGCAAATATTTGTTGGACTAATTATTAAACAAGGGAGATACTTTTTCTTTTTAATGTCTCTTTCTAACATTCCCGACTGAGGCAGTGTAGCAGAATGGGTAGGTAGGCGGGCTCTAAAGTCAGATGGTCTGGGTTTGCATTCTGATTATTCTATTCTACTTATTAGCTGAGTGACCTAGGGTAGCTTCTGAACCTCTCTGTGCTTCATGTTTCTCACTTGTGAAATGAGAACAACAGTTTTTCTCCTTTTTTTTTTCTGTTGCCCAAACTGGAGTGCAATGGTACAATCATAGCTCACTGCAGCCTCAAACTCCTGGGCCCAAGCGATCCTCCTACCTTGGCCCTCCTAAGAACTGAGATTATAGATATGAGCCACTCAGCTCAGCTAACAGTTTTTCTAATAAGATTACAGGATTCATTTAAGGTGTACATAAGAGGCTGGGGGTGGTGGCTCATGCCTGTAATCCCAGCACTTTGGGAGGCCAAGGCAGATGGAACATGAGGTCAGGAGTTCAAGACCAGCCTGATCAACATGGCGAAACCCGTCTCTACTAAAAATACAAAAATTAGCCGGGCGTAGTGGTGCATGCCTGTAATCCCAGCTACGAATCACTTGAACCTGGGAGGCAGAGGTTGCAGTGAGCCAAGATCACGCCAGGCACTCAGGCCTGAGTGACAGAGTGAAACTCCATCTCAAAAAAAGAAATAAAAAAACAAAGTGTACATAAAATAGCACATAGTAATCGCTATGTTTTTTTATGATTCTATCAGTCTCAACAACCTTCATTGGCTCCCCTTTAACCATTGGATAGACCTAAAGTCAAGTTACCCACAATTTGGCCCCAGTATCCCCCTTTCCAGTTCCATCTTCCCATATTTTAACACTAACTACCCTTTCCTGGCTGCTACCTGTACCAGACATTCTGCTAAGTGGTCTATATCCATTAACCTGTTTCCCTTCTCAAACAACCTAGTGAGACTGGACTTTTGTGTGTGTGTGTGTGAGATGGAGTCTTGCACTGTTGCCCAGGCTGGAGTACAGTGGCATGATCTCAGCTCACCGCAACCTCCACCTCCTGGGTTCAAGCAATTCTCCTGCCTCGGCCTCCCGAGTAGCTGGGACTACAGGCGTGCACAACCACACTCAGCTAATTTTCTTGTATTTTTAGTGGAGACAGGGTTTTACCATGTTGGCCAGGCTGGTCTTGAACTTCTGACCTCAGGTGATCTGCCCACCTTGGCCTCCCAAAGTGCTGGGGTTACAGGCATGAGCCACTGCACCTGGCCTAAATTCATCTTCATTCTCTACATAGCAATTGACTATATCTCTCCACCTTGAATTCCTCTCCTCCTTTTAGGCTCCACTCAAAATCCCTTCTTGCTGGGCAAAGTCCTTCTTACCCATTTCCCACTGGGTGGATTGCTTCTTCCTTCATATCCCCATAAGCTCCCTGCACATACCTTTCTCTTGGCTCCAATTTTTTCTTTAAGAAATGCACGTTGGGGCCATGTGTGGTGGGGCTCGCACCTGTAATCCCAGCACTTTGGGAGGTGGAGGCGGGCGAATCATGAGGTCAGGAATTCAAGACCAGCCTGGCCAATGTGGTCAAACCCCATCTCTACTAAAAATACAAAAAATTAGCTAGACATAGTGATGGGCGCCTGTAATCCCAGCTACTCAGGAAGCTGAGGCAGGAGAATCATTTGAACCCAGGAGGCAGAGGTTTCAGTGAGCCAAGATCCGCCACTGCACTCCAGCCCAGGCTACAGAGTGAGAGTCTGTCTCGAAAAAAAAAGGAAAAAGACAAAGAAATGTACATTGGGGACACACTGTGTACTCGGCACACAGTAGGCATTGAGTAAAAAATGTTTGTTGAGCCCACTTACTCTCAAAGCATTTGACTGTGTTTATTAAAACACTCTCATCACTCCTATCCTCCACTGTGTTTTACTGTCTATCCCTCCCCCTGCCCTGAGCTCCTGTGTGTCTCCAAACTATTGAGTCTGGCATCTTGTAGTGCCTCAAGTCATTAGACAAGAAACTAGATGCTCTCCCATCTAAGGACATAATCTGTCTATATGTACTTAAGAGTGGAGCATTACCAGGAGTGAAGCTTTCCAGTTCCCAAGATGGGTAAAGGACAAGTGAGGTGATGGACACCTTGCTGCTCACTACCCCCAATCTTTGGGCTGACACAGGATGCCAGAACTGATTATTGTCAAAAAAAAAAAAAGTGCAGACATTTGAAAATCTGAGTCCCATGTTTCCGGACCATGAAAGAAAGGCCTAGAAATGGTAAGTGACCTTTTCAAATTCCCTGGGGTGAAAACCAGGTCCCCAGTAACCTGTTGTTTCACAAGAAAAGGCGAAAGGGGAAAGGCGGCTGTGATGTCAGGGAAAGACCTCCAAGACACAGAAAACCTGGCAGCCCCCATGCTCTGCCTCTTTCACAGGAGACCTGGGCAACGCACACGTTTCTAGGCCTCAATTTCCTCATCTGTAAAATGAGGGGGTTGGAGGAGCTGGAAAAGCTCCTTCCAGCTCTGAGATGCTGTGCTATAAAATGAGAGAAATGTGAATGAACCTTTGGTTGTTATGATCTGAAAATATTTTGAATGTGGAGAATCAAATTGTTCAGCAGTGTATGAACAACATAATATGTTAATGACTAAAACGATTGTGTTTAATCCGATGGGAAACAGCAGAGCTGCTACCTCGGCTGCTGGGGCTGCTGCTGCTGTGTGTGTGCGTTTGTGTGGTGTGTGTGCACGCACGTGCGGCTTCCTTTCTTGAGCTCAAACATATATTTTGAATCACTAATATAGTAATCATGTCTCTGGCAGCCTATCTTGCCCAAACACACACACACTACACACCCTATTTCAAATTAAAGTGGGAGCGAGGAGGAATTCCACTGCGGCTCTTTACATCATTTCTGTTTGGACGGCTGTTTTTCTTTTCTTAAGAAATTTTTATAGTGAAGGTGTTGGACTGCCTGCCACGGAGGCCTCTGATCTCAGAACTGGGACGCAAGGGTGGGGAGCTCAAGCTCTCATTAGCATTTCGCTTTCGATCACCCACTGCCCCTCCTCAGCCGTCACAATCCCGTCCTGCAGCAGGGACCCCCCAACACCCGACCCTCCAAGCGGGAGAGGGGTCAGCTCGGCGGCCCCAGAGGCGACCCGGCCAGAATACGTGCTCGGGGCTCCACGTGCGCGGAAAATGAACGCGCACCCGCGACGCGGCCGGCGGGGGCGGGCGGCAGCGAGGGCCGGGCAGCCAACAGCCAACGTTCACCCCGCGGAGGAGTCGGGGCGGAGTCCGCACGTGGGTCTGCGACGGCCCCGCCTCCAGGGGGCGTCCTCTCGGGGACTCGGGGCCCCGGCTAGTGACCCCTGCAGGCCCGGGCCCGACCGCGGCCCCGAAGCCGCCCCGAGGTCTCGGCGAGCCCAGTGGAGGCGGCGGCCCCTCCCCGCCCGACGGCTACTCCCGCGCGGATTGGCCGCTCCCCGACGGCGGGCGGGGCGGGGCGGGCCGGGCCCGAGCTCGCGGCCAGGTGAGGAGCCCCGCCCCTCGGCGGCTCCAGGTGCGGCGGTGGGACCTTCGACAGCGGTGGGGTCCGGGCCGGGGCTGAGGCGCCATGGCCGAGTCCCAGCTGAGCTGCCTGGACGAGGCGCACGTGAACGAGAAGGTGACCGAGGCGCAGGCCGCCTTCTACTACTGCGAGCGGCGGCGGGCCGCGCTGGAGGCGCTGCTGGGCGGCGGCGAGCAGGCCTACCGCGAGCGGGTCAAGAAGGAACAGCTGCGGGACTTCCTCTCCAGCCCGGAGCGCCAGGCTCTGTGCGCCGCCTGGAGCCCGTACGAAGACGCGGCCCCCGCCGCCCCCGCCGCCAACGCCCGGGTCAAGAGCAAGGCCAAGGCCAAGACCCCCGCGCCGGCACCGGCCGAGCCCAGCGAGTCCCTGGCCTACTGGCCCGACCGTTCCGACACCGAGGTGCCCCCGCTGGACCTGGGTTGGACGGACACTGGTTTCTACCGCGGCGTGAGCCGGCTCATTGTCTTCACCCACCCCCCCAAGGACGAGAAGGCGCCGCACCTCAAGCAGGTGGTTAGGCAGATGATCCAACAGGCCCAGAAGGTAAGTCCCCCTCTTTGTCCCCACATCGCTGGGACCCCAGTCCCAGTCCCCTGGACCAGGCCCCACCTCCCAGGTAGGGCCGGGACAGGCCGTCCTGAGCACACTCTAGAAAATGGGCCCCAACACGCCCCTACCTCGTGGGGCTGTAGTGAGGCCTCTAGAGTGAATAGCTGGGAACATGTTTGGCACATTACAAGGTGCTAGACAGACAGATGTTAGCCGTCGGTAGAACAGCATCGGGAGGCGCTAGCTCTGCTCTGTACTTCTGAAACTTCCCTGTCCAGTCTCCCTCCTCAGGGAAGACTGGAGACCGAGGCCCTGTGGTTAACATGCATCCCTCAAAGGTCTTGATAAAAACCTACGTGCAGCCCAGGGATTTATAGAACATAGCCCAAGCCATTTTCTCATGTGATAGTCAAAGCAACTTCAGGGAGTGGGTGGTCGTGACCTCCCACTCCCACCCATTTCCATGCTGCTCTTTGGACCACCCCTCTCTCATAGTCAAAGCTGGCCTACCGCTCTCACAGTCATGGCCACTCCTGGGTGGGATACTAGGCTCCAGCCGCCTGGAATGAATGGGGAGCGCGGACACATATTGAGCACCTACTGTGTGCCTGGCCCTGTGCTGGGCGCCTTGGCACAGCAGGTCAACCTGGCTCGGCAGCTCAGGAAAGGGCTCCTGCTTAGCACATCTGCCCTGCTTAGGAGTTGGAAGAAGGGCTGTTTCCAGTGTGGCTGGTAAGGCCAGTCAGCTGTGGAGCAGGGGGAGGACTTTAATCTTTATGCCTTCAGGTAGGAGTCCTGGGGCAGCTTCCAGATCAAATATCAGATGCCCACTACATTTAAACTTTCAATAAACAACACACAACTTTTTAGTATCAGTTTATCCCAAACATGACTTGAGATGTACTGATACTGAAAAGTTCTTTGTTGTGTTTCTGAAATTCAAAGAGAATGGGAACATTTTGTACTTTCATTTGCTAACTCTGGCTCCCCTACACTGAGATTTGTTGAGAAACAGCAGCAGCCTTTGGTGCCCAGTTCAGAATATACAACAGGAGTGCTTGGGCTCATCATTCTGATTCCACTCAATGAGTGAGGTTGGAGTCCTGGTTCCCCTCGAGGCTGAATAGGCCTGAGGAGGAAAATGGAGCTTGAAAGACCATTCAGGAAGATGAGTTCGTCTTCCTGAAAGGGATGATCTAAGTAGTTGGCTAGATTGGCTACCAGAAGGAAGGGTTAACATCCCCCTGTGTGCACTTGTACCCTCCCTCTCTGCAATTCCTCCCTGTCTGACTGAGTTTCTTTGTACATTGTGTTCTGCAGAAGAAAAAGGCAAGATTGGACACAGAAGAGGGAAAAAGGATGTAGGCGGCCGGCCATACAGGCTGCAGCTGGAGTTAGGGGTCAAGTCTCATGATGTTGTACTAACAAAGCCTCTGTTTTTTAGCATTTAATACGTGCCATCCACTGTGCTAATGACTCACCTGCATTTTCTCATTAGCTTTTCCCAGCAACTGGGTGAATAGGTATTTTCCTTATTTTTGGAGGAAAAGACATCAGGATTCAGAAGTTTCTTGCCAGAGGTCCCATGGCTAGTAAGTGGCTAAGCCAGGACCCAAACACCAAAGCCCTTGCTCTTACCCACTGTGCTACTCTGCCCCAGTGCCCAAAATAATGGTGCAGTCTGATTAAGCAAGGGGTTTGAATGAAGGTAGCCTGGTCACAGCCTGGAGTACAGGTGGTGTACTCCTGTTACAAGAAGGGGGTGACAGGGCCCTGGCCACCGAGGCTTCTAGTCCCATGTGGGATGACAGGACTCTCTCCTGCATAGTGAGGTATTTTTAACTCTAAATATTTAACAACAGAAACTTCTAACAATTGTGAACCCATCTGATAAGTACAGGTTTAACCAGTAATTTCCTGAGGGCCGACTGTGTGCCAGGCCCTAACTGGCCATGAAGAAGATGTACGGGGTGTCGTTTGCCCTCCAAGAGCTTAACAAATGCTCAGGCTCTGCCGGAAAGAAAAGAGTTTTTAAGGCTGGATGTGCCTAATCTGGGAAGTCTTCCTGAGGGAGGTGAGTTGCAGAATTGGAAAGGGAGAGAGTAAACTGGAAAATGATACTCTCTCGGTAAGAGAGATTTGGGCTTTGAAAAACCAAGGAGGTTTGACTGGCAGGAAAAAAGAGCTGTTGTGGGAGGAGGTGAGCACTGTGTGGTGCCTGGTGTGGGGACTCTAAAACTGGGCCCAAGGCAGGCAGTCACCCCCCAGGAAGCAACAGCATTGGACACTGTCTGTGCCCACCCAAGTATCAGGACCTCTGGACCCTCACCCTTAATCACTGTCTTGAATGTCTACATAGTCCCTTCTTCCCAAAGACCCTGTGAAGAAGTCGGGACAGAGAGGTTGACCGGGTTTCACAGGTGAGGAAGCAGGCACAGAGAAGGAAAGAGGCTTGCCCAGAGGTCACGCGGCTGGTTCTAGAAGGACCCAGCTTCTGCTCTAGGAGGCTGTTCCTTCCGACTGCTGCCTGTCCCCCACCCCCATGCCACCTTGTCCAGCTGGCTGGCAGCTTTCCCTGGCCATTAACTTAGATCCTTCCTCCTTCCCTTTCGCCCCGAGGGAGGGAGTTTTCTTTGTTTCCAGTGAGAGTCTGGCTGCTATGAGGCCAGGTAGGGCAGACTGAGATGGTTTACCTACAGGGACATGGGGAACTACGGAGGGGAGGCAGCAGGACACGCACACATCCAACTGTGTGCCAGAGTTTGCATTTTATTTCATTTAATCATCGGAATAACCCTGTGAGGTGCTGTCATTTTGGTTCCCGAGTCACAGAGAGGATACTAAGGTTCAGAAGGAGTTGCCTGTGGCTGCCATGTCTACAGTCAGTCACAGGCCAGCGGGGGAATCTGTACTTGGTCTTCAGGGATATGGAGAAAGGCGCCTAATTAGGGGACAACATGCTTTGAAACGTGATTGGGGCTGAGGGAGGAGGGGCTGAGAATGGGCACCAGTGAGGAAACAGCCCAGCAGGGGCCATGTGGACTGGGAGGGCCTTTGAAGAGGTCCGGCTGAGCCACCTATATCCTGGGCCTCTGCAAATGTCAGAAAGCCCTTCCCAACCGCCATTCAGCTGTTTACTTGTGGGGTAGGGCTTTTTCCTGCTGGGTTTTTTTTTCCCCTTTGGAGTGATCTGCTTACCTGGGTGCCTCTGAATGATGTACTTTGTCTACTTAAGTTACAGGCAGAAAGGGCGCCTTTAGGGACCCAAAATGATCTCCTGGCCTGTGCTATGCTAGAAAGAAGATGGGGGAAGTTGATGGTGCTTGGACCATTCAGGTCATTTTAACTGTCCGGGAGTGGACTTACAGCAAACCCGTGTGTAGATTGGGAAACTCTTGGTTCTTATTTGCAAAGCCAGAGTAAGGGGAGCAAACAACTACAATCTGGATGGGCTGGCAACTTGAAAGGATTGTGCACCCGTTTGGCCATTGGACAAATACTGAGAGGTTTACTGCATGTGCTAAGCATACTTTAATGGAAAACAGACATCCGAAATCCACCTTTGCTCTTAAATAGCCTAATCTTCTGCTGATCCATCATCTAATACAGTCTGAGGAGTGCTGGATGAAGGTCATGGTGGGAGGGGCACTAGCCCAGGGAAGGCCTTTTGATGCCAAGGACCTGTGAGATGGCACCAAGCTGCCTGCCCATCTCGTGCCCAGGCTCCCTTGTGACCAGCGGCCTCCCATTTTGAGGCTGCTGGTCGAATTTAGAGAACGTTGCCTTGTGCTTTGGGAAGAGAGGCAAATTGATCACACCTGCTTCTCAAAGATTGACCCTTGACCCCTGCATTCCTGCCTTGTACCCAAATGCGCCAGTGTCCCAGCTAACCAGCTCGTCTTGGTTTATTACAAACTGTCCAATCTCCTTGACACCTCAAAAGCTGCGTAAGGCAGGGTCTGGTCTTTGTTACACAGAGGCTCCTTCTGAGCTTCAAAAGGGTGAAATGACTCCCCTTCAGACCAAGGAAAAGGAGGTTACACAGCACCCCCGGGTCCCTGGTTGAGATTCCCAGTGACCCCAGTGACCCCAGTGACCCCATGCAGATTATAAACAACCTAGGAGAGGGAGGGGCTGCTGGAGTAGGTAACATGACTAACTAGGAGCTGCTTTCTATTTTCATTCCTGTTGTAGTTAGTGGAATAGGCCTGTCCGGATGATTTAGGAAAGAGTAACCAGCCAGGCTGGTCCCTAACCTACCTCTGCCTGTTGATGGGTCTGTCCCTTTTCCTTCAAGGCCTCTCTAAGAGGCCACCTCTGCCTTGGCATTTCATCAATTTGATTTCAATCCAGAAGGTCCACACAGTTTGCTTTGGAAGAGGGCGTTTTTTTCCTCCTTGATTGGGAACTTTGGAAGAGAAAGACTGGCTTACTCCCCTCAGTTTCCTGTCCGGTACCCCAACAGTGCCCTGACTGTCACAGATGATCAATTATCTGTTTATAGAATTGAAAACCATCTTCTCTTGGCTGCCCATCCCTCGGGGGAAGCAGGTGTCTGGAGCTGTCCCTGCTGAATTGCACATTCTCCTGGGAACTTCTTTAATCTGCATCGTAACAAGCCGGCTGGCAGCAGAGAGAAGAATGCTCTAAATTGGGGATATGGGGCACAGGAAGGCAGGTGCCTCAGGGGATTTAGAGAAAGGCTCCAGAGCTGGAGGCATGGCTGGCTGAGGTTAGCAGCCTTGGTTTGAGGTCTGGGCAGCTTATGGGAGGAGGATATGGTAACAGCTGGCATATAGATGCCCCCAGGCATGGCAGAGTCCTGGAGTCATCAGCTCAGCTCCCCACAAGACTCAGCTTTGCACATGGTGGGCCTGGCCCCTGACTAGAGCCCCCCGTCTTTCCCCATTAACCTCAAATGGCACTTCCCTCATTCAGCTACACTGGCAAATGGTACCAAGTGCCTTTTTCATACCAGGCACTTTGCTGGACATTGAGATACTGCAATGAAGCAGATGCCCAAAAAATCCCTAGTTTAAAAAATACATAATTTTTTAAATGTTACTGGTTTTTGAATTCCAAGAGTCAGGCAGTACATTCATTAGTCACCTCAACACCTTGTTTGAGAGCTGGTCCCAATTCTTGACTTGCTCCTAATACCTTTCCTACCTCCCTCTTTTCCCCATTATCCTCCTCCCCTTCCATCTAAGGGGAACAGTTGACTTTATCTAGAAGCTCCTGTGCTGCCTTTTAGAAGCCTCTTCAAACTCACAGAGCAAGAAGAGGCCTCTCAGGCAGCCCAGGGACCCACAGGCCCCATGCTCTCCTAACCATTCTACCCTTCTGCAAGCGGCCATGCCACATGAGCTTCGTGCCAGAGGCACTGGGCGGTGCCAGAGTCCTCGCTGCATTAAGGCTGGTGGATAATGGCACAGCTGCAGCTCCAGAGAATAAGAGCACTTCACAGCCCTTCTGTGATCTTGCCCCAGCCTGTCCGGGTATTCCTGGCAAGCCCTGGACGAATCAGCTGTTGGGTTCTGAGTCTCTCTCTTCTATGCTCGATCAGTGATCCCAGGAACCGGAATTTCTGAGCAATGGACCAGCTTCATGTCAAAAACAGAAGACAGGCTCTGAAGTTGAAAGATCTTGATTTCTGCCCTCATCTGACCACTTATTCACTGTTACTCACTGTGTTTCCTTGAACAAATCACCTCCCTCTCTGAGACTCCTGGCAGATAAAATGGAGACAATAATACTGAGGTTCCAGGATGGCTTTGAAAAGCAAGGGGGGGCAGGGCACGTTGGCTCACACCCCCAGCACTTTGGGAGGCTGAGGTGGGTGAATTGCTTGAGCTGATGAGTTTGAGACCAGCCTGGGCAACATGGCAAATCCCCGTCTTTACAAAAAGTACAAAAATTAGCCAGATGTGGTAGCGTGCACCTGTAGTCCCAGTACTCAGGAGGCTGAGGTAGGTAGGTGGGTGGATTGCTTGAGCTTGGGAGTTGGTGGCAGTGAGCAGAGATTACACCACTGCACTGCAGCTGAGTGCCAGAGCAAAACTCTATCTCAGAAAGAATAAAAGAAAGCAAGAAAAACAAGGGAGAAACCATGTGAGAAAGCTGAGGATACTGCAAAGTATCATACAAGTGTTCATTACTTTAGAAAATAACTGCTGTCTTCTCTGTCTTTGCAGAGCAGGGGAAGGAAGGGTTGCCAGATTTCCTCCCAGGAAGTTAGGGTCCCCACCCAGGAGATTAGATGTAGGCAAATTGGGAGTCTCTTCTCATTGCTAGGGCCAAAGGCCCTGTTTGCACCTTTGACAAACAGGACTGGCTCCCCACAGCCCTCCTACCCACTCATGCATGGATCTGCTGGCCTTGATTTGGTGGTGGTGGGCAGTGATCAGCAAGGGCAGCTTTCTGCTGGGCCTCCAAGCTGCCTTCAGGAGGCTGTGGCTTGGAATCCTCAGCCCAGGATCTATGCTGGGATCTGCCAAGGGCAGAGAAGGATAAAACAGGAAGGTGCAGAGGCTCCCTTGTTCCTAAAGCAGGGGTCCCCTGAGGAGGCTCCCCATACACAGTCATCCTGAAAGGCCAGACTGCTGCACGTGCCCAGCCCAGAGAGCCCCAGGGCAGCCTGGGAAGGCACCTCAAGTTCTTTTAGTTTGGGAGAACTGAAGCTTTCATTGGAACAAGAGGGTGGGGCTGCTGAGGTTTAACTATGATGTAATCATCGCCTTGGGCCTGTGTTTCCGTCTTTGGAGAAGAGGGCGGGGAGAGTTGGCTCCTTGGAAATACCTATGGTACTTTGGGTCCCTGAACCTCTGAGGATGGGTGTTTCCCAGAAAGTTCAAAAGTAGGTGGGGCCTCAGTAAACTTCCTGACCTTCTCTTGAAGGTTCAAGGTAGCAAAGCCAGTTCTGTTGGGTGGAGGTCTCAGAAAGACCAGGCCACTGCCAGGTGGAGAGAGTCCACCGCTGGGAGCCAGGGGCCTGGGAATCATCATTTTTGCCCTGCCCATCTCTTTCCTAACTCACTGGGTGATGTTTGGTACATTATCTGGCTTTGATGGGTCTCCATTTCTGCATCTCTAACATGGGGATAATTCTTGCTTATTTCCAGAAATTGTTCTGAGAATCCAGCATAAGGCTATGGGAAAGTACTATGAGAAAGGTGAGTGAGGTGTGCAGTAAAAGAGATTTCTCTGAAGAAGGGCTAACGTTGAGCGACGGGATGGGTGCTCTGCATGCTGTTTCTTTTCATTAATCCAGTCCTCAGCACCTTGCAAAGGAAGGGGTATCTTCCCTGAGGCTCAGGGAAAGCATCAGTTCACAGAACTCGGAAGTAGCTGGGGGCAAGTCCACCCAGGTCTCATTTCAAGGTAGTGTCCATCCATGACAGTTGCCCTTGGGAATTGCCCTCTGGGGCCATCTCTTCCCTCTAAAACTTCCAGAAACATTCAAAGCCTGTGTGTCACCCACCAGGCCCTGGGAGGCTCTTGGTTCTAGACACAGACAAGTACACAACTGCCAGCTGCTCCACTCTGTGCCAAGGCTGGGGAAGAGGGTTCCTTCTGCCCAGTGACATTGAGGCAGGTAACACAGCGAAGCTGGGTACAGGTAGTTTCTCCAGAGAGACCTAGATTGTCCTCTTCATGGCCACTCTCTGGCCCCTTGGGACTTACACCCCTTCCTGACAGGCTGAGACCTTGTAGTGAGTCCCAGTCCAGCAACTGTCAGTCCCTCCGTCTTCTCACCCCTGGGATGCTGCCTCACCTTGGCTAGTGGCCAGATCTGCCTCCCTTTTCTTAGAGTATACAAAGCAGAGCCTGTTTGGGGACAAGCTTCCAATCCGAGTTGGGGGAGGCAGGGAGCAGGGCAGAGAACAGATGAGCCCAGGGTTGTGTCCTGGCTGACCACCTGCCCCCACTTCTGGGGCTGTCCTGAGCCGCCCCCCAAGCTGATTCACTCTAGCCATCCCTGCCCACTCCCCACACACCATGCCACGTGCCATGACCAGCCAACCTCAGCTGGAGCTGCTGCCCTTCCCAGTTTTTTCATTCTCTGAAATCTGTGAGCCTGTGGACTTGCTAATGATCCCATAATCTTAGCTCTGGAAGAGAGCCTATGGCTTCTCTAATTATTAGTCTCTCTGGCCCAGGTTTCCAATAATCTGGAAACACATCCCCGGCACAGCTTGCACGCTGGTCATCATTCTGCTGGGCTTCTCGCAGTCCTGGCCAGGCATGTGGGAGGCTCCTGATGAGCATTCTTTTTGTTTTTCAGCAGTGAGTCAGATGAGGGTGGGGAGGTGGGACCTAGAACTCTCTACCTTTCGGTGGGCCATTAAGGACAGACTGTGAGTTTCCTTAACTCACCCACCTCGGAGGGCTCCCAGACCACCTGGATATTCCCTGCATTCGATCATTCACTCACCATGTTTTACTGAAACCCAACTATGTTCCAGGAACCAGAAATTTACAGAGAGTACAATGAGAACACTGCCTTAAGTCTTATGGGGGAGACAAAAGGAAAATAAATTACAGCATAGTCTTGGGGGTAGGGGTGTTGATACCTATTACTCATTGATCATTTAAGTGCTAGGCAAATGCCAGCCCTTTTAGAATTATTTATTTATTTATTTATTTATTTATTTATTTTTCAGAAGGAGTCTCGCTCTGTCACCCAAGCTGGGGTGCAGTGGCTCCATCTCGGCTCACTGCAACCTCCAACTCCCGGGTTCAAGTGATTCTCCCACCTCAGCCTCCCAAGTAGCTAGGACTGCAGGCGTGTGCCACTATGCCTGGCTAATTTTTGTATTTTTAATAGAGACAGAGTTTTGCCATGTTGCCCAGGCTGTTCTTGAACTCCTGACCTCAGGTGATCCACCTGCCTTGGCCTCCCAAAGTGCTGGGATTACAGCCATGAGCCACCATGCCCAGTTTTCATATTTTTAGTAGAGATGAGTTTTCACCATCTCTATGGTTTGGCCAGACTGGTCTCAAACTCCTGATCTCAAGTGATACCCCTCTTCAACCTCCCAAAGTTCCGGGATTACAGGCATGAGTGGCCACACCCAGCCTATTTCATTTAATTTTTTTTTTTTTACAACAAACCAACAGCTTTTCATTTTACAGATGAGGAAACTGAGGTTCAAAGAGGATAAGGTCACACCGCCAGTAAATAGAAAGCTAGATGGGAACTGAGATGTGTCTGATTCTCAGGCTTGTGCACCTGTACTCAGCCCAGGTGAACAGAGGCTTCCTGGGAATTGATGGCTGAATCAGCCAGTTGTGGAAGGGCAGGGCCAGCTGTGTACAAAACTGAAGGCTTGGGACACATGGACTCACACTATTCCCATCACTTGCATGCCCTCCTGATCACTTTCAACCATATCCCTCCCTGCACTCTCAACTTGCCTCTCTAGGGAAGCCTCCCAGGTAACATCATCTGGCAACAGCCAGAGTTATCCTTGCTGCTTCTCCGCACCTCCCAGGCAAAGTGCCAACTCCATTTGTCTTACCCTGATAGATCAATCAAGAAATACCCTGGCAGACACTTCTTGAGGCCTGCCTCGCTCTGTCCATGTACTCGAGAGCTCAAGGCTAGTAACACAAACCAGCAGATGATCCTAAAAATTGTTTGTGTATCTTCAATGGACTTTTTTTGTAGCAACTGATTTATCTTGCTAATTATGTTTGGCTTTAAGCTAATGTTAAAATGAGCTTGCATTAGATAATTTTCACCAATTAACACCAACTTAGTGCCGAGAAAGTCATCCCAGAAGCTTGCCGTGGGGCAGGGAAAAGCTGGCCTAGGATCTTACAAAGAATTGCTCTGCTTACACCCTGGCAGGTCACGACACATGGTTGCTCACGGCTGAATTAGTTGGCCTTGCTCACATGGGTGTCATCTGTCTTCCTCCTCTGGAGAGCCAGCCTGGGTCTCCTTTGTACATATACCCTCCTTCATTCAACCTTGTCCAGAGTGATGGCCTCACAGGGTCAGCCTGACAGGAAGTGACCCCTAGGGGGCGCAGCAGGGAGACGAGACCCACAGGGTCGGTATCAGAGCCCCACATTGAAGTCAAGGGCTCTGGGAGAGGGAACAGCTCGGCTGGGTGGAACTGGGCTCTGAGGCTGCCAGCGTAGGGAGGGAGCCCGGTGTTTCATGATGTCAATTAGTGAGTCCAAGACAATGGAACGCAGCCACAGACAGCTGGGAAGCCCCAGCTGACGAAGCACAGATGCCCTGCTGCTGGGGTGGGGCAGCCTCGCCTCAAAGTGGGAACAAGACCCTGTTGCAGCCAGGCACAGTGGCTCACACCTGTAATCCCAGCACTTTGGGAGGTCGAGGTGGGCGGATCATTTGAGGTCAGGAGTTCGAAACCAGCCTGGCTAACATAGTGAAACCCCATCTCTACTAAAAATACAAGTTACCCAGGTGTGGTGGCATGCACCTGTAATCCCAGCTATGACGGAGGCCGAGGCAGGAGAATTGCTTGAGCCCGGGAGGCAGAGGTTTCAGTGAGTAGAGATCATGCCACTGCACTTTGGCCTGGGTAACAAAGTACTACTCCATCAAAAAAAAAAAAAAAACCTGTTGCAGCTCTGGATTTGGCTCTGCCCATGTGGAGACATTCTGTTTAGAGTGATGGCAGGGCTCTGTCCCCCATTCCTCATGGATAGATGGGGAGATACCCCCATGTGCTTAGACAGACACAGCCCTGGGCAGGCAGACGTGTATCGTAGGGAAGGCACACATTGCACTGGGGACTGGGGATAGGGGGTTGATCCTGGGACAGCCCTGGGAAGAGTGAAACAAGGACCTCAACAAAGAGCATTCCCATCACCACAGGCTTAGGAGGTGACAGTGTGAGTTTAGGCACCAGCTGGAGCCTGCTGGTGAGTTTGGAGAAGATAGAATCATCTTGTGGGGTATGAGCTTATTGCCGGGGAAGAGAGTGGATGAATGCCTTTTTGGAAGCACATGAAGGGTCTTCAGCCAGGCTGAGAGGCTTCGACTTGACTGTGGGCAATCAGGGGCCACAGAATGTTTGGGCAGGGAAACTGTGCGCTTGGGTCATGTTATGGGGTCCGTCTGGGCAGGGAAACTGTGCGCTTGGGTCATGTTATGGGGTCCGTCTGGGCAGGGAAACTGTGTGTTTGGGTCTTGTTATGGGGTCCGTCTGGGTAGGGAAACTGTGCGCTTGGGTCATGTTATGGGGTCCATCTAGGCAGGGAAACTGTGCAATTGGGTCTCGTTATGGGGTCCATCTGGGCAGGGAAACTGCACTTGGGTCTCGTTATGGGGTCCGTCTGGGCAGGGAAACTGTGCACTTGGGTCATGTTATGGGGTCCATCTGGGCAGGGAAACTGTGCACTTGGGTCTCGTTATGGGGTCCGTCTGGGCAGGGAAACTGTGCGCTTGGGTCATGTTATGGGGTCCATCTGGGCAGGGAAACTGTGCAATTGGGTCTCGTTATGGGGTCCGTCTGGGCAGGGAAACTGTGCACTTGGGTCTCGTTATGGGTCCGTCTGGGCAGGGAAACTGTGCGCTTGGGTCATGTTATGGGGTCCGTCTGGGCAGGGAAACTGTGCGCTTGGGTCTCGTTATGGGGTCCGTCTGGGCAGGGAAACTGTGCACTTGGGTCTCGTTATGGGGTCCGTCTGGGCAGGGAAACTGTGCGCTTGGGTCTCGTTATGGGGTCCGTCTGGGCAGGGAAACTGTGTGCTTGGGTCATGTTATGGGGTCCGTCTGGGCAGGGAAACTGTGCGCTTGGGTCATGTTATGGGGTCCGTCTGGGCAGGGAAACTGTGCGCTTGGGTCATGTTATGGGACCTGTCTGTCGAGAGGGGAACAGTCAGGGTAGCGTGAATGAGCACTGTGGCAAGGTAAACCTGAGCACCTCCTGTGTGCCAGGCCCTGTCCCAGAGGAAGAGTGGCGCTCAGCCAGCAGGGGCAGGCACTAGGCAAGATTTTATCTAGGCTTGATTACATTTCTTTGCATTTCATAAGAACCATAAAGTAGCCTTGTTTTACAGGTGGAATTCACAGGGGTTAAGTAACTTGTCCAAGGTCTCACAACCAGTGTGGAATCTCTGGCACTTTCCACCCACCAAAGCATACTTCTGACTGTTGGATTTATCCATGTAAATCTAGAGTCCAGAGATGAAAGGAAGTTAAGGGGTGTTCTGTGGGGACTGTGCAGCAGGCACCCCTCCTGCGGGCAGCCATGCAGCCTCTTCTCCTTAGCTCTCCTCTACTCTCCTCTCTCCCCAGAGTGTGTGCAGGGGGAACTTTAGAGAAAGTTTGTTGTTTAGTGGTTCCCACTCTACTGGTGTAAAAATTGGTGATAATTCAGATGGGGTCTGTTGCAGTCTTGGTGACAGTCTCTGCAGTGTACCCGGAGTACTTAAGAAACCGCCTCCTCGATGCTTCATCTCCATAGAGCACTTTTCTGTGTTCCAGCGATGGCTGTGCTAGTTAGAAGTTGCAGGCTGGGCACGGTGGCTCATGCCTGTAATCCCAACACTCTGGGAGGCCAAAGCAGGTGGATCACAAGGTCAAGAGATCAAGAGCAGCCTGGCCAACATGGTGAAACCTCATCTCTACCAAAAATACAAAAATTAGCTGGGGGTGGTGGCGTGCACCTGTAGTCCCAGCTACTCAGGAAGCTGAGGTAGGAGAATTGCTTGAACCTGGGAGGCAGAGGTTGCAGTGAGCCAAGATCATGACACTGCACTCCAGCCTGGTGATGGAGTGAGAGTGAGACTCTGTCTCAAAAAACAAAAAGAGGTTTTGCTCTGGTTCAGCCCGCCTTGAGATACTTTACTTTGGCAGCAGTTTTCTTAGCAGTGCATTGCGGCGTTCAGCATACGGGTATGGCTGCATGAACAGTTCGTCACGTAGGTTCTTCCTTAATTGGGCTGCCCTTCCCCTCAATTAGTTCAAGTTTTGACCTTTCTGGGAGTGTAGTGTTCCCTGAGCTTTAATCACCTCCATGGGCTGGGCCTGCTGGGCGTCGCATTGAGCAGAGGAATAGCATCCCCACCTCCATGTCTGTGCCATGGGAGGCGCTGGCTGTCTGGCGCCCCTGGAGCTCAGTGGGCCCCCCACTGGCTGTCTCCTTCTTTCTTGCCCACTCCCTGAACGGTGGCCCCTTTGTTCTGGGCTCCATCACTTCGGAGAAAAGAGGCCACCTGCACTTACCCAACGCTCACAGCAGGGCAAGTACCGCACTGTTGTAGAATCTCACTTAAAGCTCAGCACAGCCCTGTAAAGGCATCACCTCCGCACTCTAAAAAGAGGAAACCAAGGCCCAGTAAATGACTCACTCAAAGCCAAACAACGAGTAAGCCTTTCTGCTTCCAGACCGTCTGTTCTCTTGCAAGCAGCAGCTTTCACTCAAAGTGTGGCACGTCCCCCTTGTGCATTCAAGTCACCTGAGTGGGGGTGGAGGATGGAGGCTGCTGTTGAAATGCATTTTCCTGGGCCTTTGCTGAATTTGAGTCTTTGAGGATGGGGCCCTGGAATCTGCATCTTCACTAGGCATACCACATCCCTGCACCCAGGTGATTCTTTACACACTCAAGTTTGACAACCCCTCCCCTGTAGACCTTGATCCCTCTTTTGGGGGAGATCAGAAAAGGAGGTTCCACAGCTGGAGATGTGTGAGTCAGAGGCTGCAGGTAGACCCAGCTCTACCCTCCATGGGAAAGGGAAGGTCAGCCCTCGGGTCCCAGACAGACTAACTCCCCTGGGCTGCCAGACAGCCAGCCATTCTGGGACCTGTTTGCTCAGCTGCTGTCCTCTCTACCCTGAAGGACCTTCGGGCTTGTGGGGAGTTCACCACATTTGCCTTGTAGAAAACGAATTTAAACACAACTGCACAGCGTGTTTTGTGGGATTTCATGGGCATAATCTCATCCGAACTTTCCATCAGCCCTGGGAGGTAGTCAGGGCAGGCTTGGGAGATGACTAGGCCCCAGGCACACCTGATAATCAATGGGAAAGTGTCCCTTCCTTCCCCAGGAGAAGTGACATCACCAACAGGCCCCCTGAGTCAGCAAGCCTGTGGCCTTTTGCTTTTTCACACCCACAGAAGGGGTGAAGCAGGGGATCTTTGCAGGCAACAGCACCCACACTCACCCCAGAGTCCTGAGCTCCACGTCAGCAAGGCAAGGGGGCGCATAGGGTTATCTCTCTCTACCCATGCATCTCAGCTTGCATCGTGGTTTTGTGTAACCAGAGGTGGCCTGGGGTCCTGGCCGGAACAGATTTCTTCCCAGAGCCTGCTGTGTCTACACTGTCTGGGGGTGACACCTTAATGTTGTAGAAAAGCTCAGAACTGGGGTCGGAAGCCCAGGCTTCAGTCTCAGCTCTCTCAAGACCCAGCTGGGAACTTTAACCCCTGGGCTGGGCTAGATGCTTTCCATGTTTCCTCCTAGCTCCAACGTTCTGCACACCTGGAATGTCTTTAAGTGTAGGGGCTGACTTGAATGGTGTAACTTGTGCTTGGCATTTGGGCATGGCTGAGGGGCTTTGGTGGGGGCCTGGCATGCAGCCATGCTGCATTTTCTGCCCTTGCACTCTGTCAGAGGGAGGAGGGCACCTTTTTGTGATTTGCACAGAGGCACTTGCTATCTGTGCTGATGGCAGCCCTGCCTCCTGGCTTCATTTCCTTGGTATGGGACTTCTACCCCTTGGTTAAATACTGTTCTCAACCAGGGCTGGCTGTGACTCCGAGATCCTGGGTGGGTAGAGGGAAGGCAAAGACCAGACCTTCGAGCTGTCGCTCAGGAAACAGTCCCAACAGGTGCCTTCCTTCTTTCCCCTTCTCTGCTGCCCTGAGGAAGGACTGTGTACTCTGCCTTCCAGCCAAACAATCTAACTAGGAATCTTGCTCAGCATTCTTTGTGTTCTCCTTCACCTCAGTGCCTCGTCATTCATGAAATGAAGGAGAAAACTGCAGAGCTGCACCCACACCCACAAACAAAGCAATAGACACAAAACTCCATTTAGACGTTCATGCCCAAAACATGGAGAACTGACTTTGTGCTGAGCTCTGTGCTAAGGGTGGAGATTCTGAAAGAAATCAGGTGGTCCCTGACCTGCAGGAGCCCGAAGCCTAGTCAAGGACCGAGAGGTTGTGTAGCAGACATTACAGCAAAGGGTTAAGGAGCTCTGTTATTTGCCTGGAATGCAATGTGGGCAGGAAGCAGGGGGCGATTAACATTATTGGGTGGGGAGAAGTTCAGGAAATTCTTGGCTGAGTCTTGAAAGATGTATAGATGTTTCACAGGGGTCTGGAAGGGGTAGAAGCAAAAGGACTTGAAACTGCCTGATATGTACATGGTTCTCAGTTTTGCCTCCCAAGGGACATGTGTTGATGTCTAGAGACTTTTTTGGCTGTTGTGACTAGGGGTGATATTACCAGCATCTAGTGGGAAGGGTCCAGGCATGCTGCTAAACATCCTGCCATATACAGGACAGTCCCACACAACAGATATATCCAGCCCCAAAAGGTCAAGAGCGATACAGTGAGAATCCCTGTGTTAGGTACCTGGAGGTCATCCCTCGTGATGGCGAAGAGAGGCAGAGATGAGCTGTGGCCAGGGATGAAGCTGGAGACAGGAAGAGGCCAATCATAAGGCCCTTCAAATGCCGAGTCAAGGAGTGTGGCCCTCTCTTGAGGGCTATGGGATCCACTTGTTTGTCATTTGGTCTTTTTAGGAGTATTACTGCTGTGGAGGATGAGTTGGAGGGCAGAGGTGAGCAGGAGAGAGCAGTTAGAAAGTCATAGAAGTGTGGTAGGAAAGGAGGAGGGTCCGAGCTGGGATGGTACCAGTGGGGGCAGAAAGGATTGACTCAGAAGATCCAGGGTGGGACCTGCTGGGATTCTGTGACTGATGGGATTTGGTGGGTGGGGAGGGGGAGGAGGCTGGTCGGCCTGGCTTCTGGCTCGAGTGACTGGGAAGATGTTGACCTGTGGAGTGCGTGTGTGGCTGAGGGACTTGTCCAAGCTGCAGTCCACTCTGCAGATGTGGACATCTGGCCGAGTGATGCCTCCTCTAGTCTGGGTCGTCCGAACACTCACGGGGCGCAGGGGCCAGGTGGAGCCCTCTAGTCGGTTTTGTTATCTACCAGTAATCATGGAGTCCGTAAAGAGAATTGGAAACGCTGGCAGTTTAATTAAAGCTGAATGGCAGGAGAGGGGCATTCGGAGACTCCCTGCCCACCCTCACTCCCTGCCCAACCGCCCAGGCAGGATATCAGACGAGGAGCTGTTGAGCTTACAAAACACCCGATGAGAAGTCTTACAACATCAGAGGCTCTCTGACAGTGCGCCTGCGACAGCCTATAGAAACTGCTGCCACCTGGAATTAACCTCTCTCCCCAGGCATTGCATATCAGTAGGTAACCAGGTAAAGGACACTGGGGATGGGCAGCCAGCTGGAGGGGGCGTGATGTTCTCCCCCAGCAGAATCTGCTTCCCTGGGTTCTGAGCCCATGATGTCCTGTTTTTAAACCCGATTTTCCATCTACACTGGGAGTTTTGAAGTTCACTCGGTGTGGAGAATCACGTGCACAGTGAAAGACCCGAACAGAGAGAATGGGGAGCTGGTCCCCCTGAGCCTGACGCTGCGGAGCTGAATGTCAAAGCAGGGCCCTCAGAGACCAAAGCGGAGGGTAATTATCACTTCTCCGCAACTAGATTGCAGGAGTCAGCCAGCAATTGATTTTTTTTTTTTTTTGTCTTACAGATATTTCATTGTTTAATTGGTAGTGACACAGATGTCTGGCTCTCACCAGGGCATCACAGTCCGACTCTTGAAAGCCGGGCTGTGGGGACCACTGCCTCTCCCGACATCCTTAGGTGGGTGGGGCTAGGACAGGCCAGCTTCCCTGCTTAATTTTTCAATCACAAAGCACAAGTAAGAGTGTGAGCCTGAGACAAGCTTCTGTGAACCGGTCAAGCTGCCCTCAGCAACATGAGTCTGCTCTGAGCTGGACACCATGGAGTGTTCAGAAATGAGAGGACAGTGAACTCTGGCCTAGACAATACATGGGAGATAAACTATCAGGAGCACCAAGAGATGGTGATCAAGTTTCAGAGCCCCACAAATCACATTGCTGGTGAAATGAAGCCAGAACTCTGCAGGGTGTGTTCAAACCCTCCATATCCAGCCCATGTCCCCTCACCCTTATCCCTACCCCATGCCACCCTGAACTGTGCCAGCCCAGCTGGAGGACTTAAATGTGATTTTTGGTTGGTTGGTTGGCTATTTTGGACCTCAGCTGCAGAGAGCTGATTGTGCACCTTAGTTCGTTCACACCACACTTCTGGCAAGCCTTGGAAGGCCCCTCTCATTTTACCTTTCTCCTTCCAGAGGCAGCCGCCCTCATGCATTCAGCTTATGTCCTCAGACATGTTTGTATCCTTGAAAAGTGTGCAGAATTATTTTATGTAGTGTGTGTTTTTGTTTTGTATTTTGGGATGGAGTCTTGCTCTGTCACTCAAGCTCGAGTGCAGTGGCGTGATCTCAGCTCACTACAACCTCTGCCTCCCGGGTTCAAGCAATTCTCCTGCCTCAACCTCCCTAGTAGCTGGGACTACAAGTGTGCACCACCACACCCAGCTAATTTTTGTAATTTTAGTAGAGACAGGCTTCATCATGTTGGCCAAGCTGGTCTCAAACTCCTGACCTTGTGATCCACTCTCCTCGGCCTCCCAAAGTGCTGGGATTACAGGTGTGAGCCACCATGCCCAGCCTGTAGTATGTTTTTATTTACATAAATGGTATTAGGCTATAGATTTCACTCTTTAACATTTTCATTTGAGCTATCTATTTTAAAGGGAATTATCCAAGTTAGGGTACGTGGAACTACTTCGTCGCTTCTGTCTGCTGTAAAACATTCTGTCACATTCCTCACATTTTCCTCACTCAGTCTTCTAGAAATAGACATCTATGTTGTTGCCAGCTCCTTGCTATCCCAAAGAAAGATGCAGCGAACATCTTTGTTCTGGACCCCATACAGACCTGTGCAAAGATCCAAGAGTTTCCCAGGGGTGCACAGCCAAGAGTGGCTTTGCTGGCCTGTAGCTGTGCACATACGTAAATCCACTGAGTTCTGCCTGTCACTCTGCAGAGTAGCTGCACCAGTGTTCCCACCCAGCAGCAGCGACAAAAAGTCCCCCTTCTTCCACCTACCAGTATTTTGGATTACCCAACTTTCTGATTTTTTGTTAATCTCATAGTTGTAAAGTGATCTCTCCCTTTTATCTCTTTTTTCTTTTCCTTTTTTTCTTTTTTTTCTTGAGATGGAGTTTCGCTGTTGTTGCCCAGGCTGGAGAGCAATGGTGCAATCTTCTCTCACTGCAAGCTCCACCTCCCGGGTTCCAGTGATTCTCTTGCCTCAGCCTTCCAAGTAGCTGGAACTACAGGTGCACACCACCAACCCCAGCTAATTTTTGTAGTTTTAGTAGAGATGGCATTTCACCATGTTGGCTACGATGGTCTCAATCTCTTGACCTTGGGATCCACCCACCTCGGCCTCCCAAAGTGCTGGGATTACAAGTGTGAGCCACCACGCCTGGCCAGTAGTACAATTCTTACTGATACGGTTCTGTAGTATGTCTTACTCTCTGTAGAACAAGTATTCCCTTTTAGCTTTTCTTTTTAAAAATGGATGTAGCTATTTGTGGATCTTTATTCTTCTTTATATCTTAGAAGTATTTGAGTTTCTCAAAAACATTTACTTTTTATGGAATTATGTTGAATTTTGATAATATGGAGAGTATTTGACTTTTTAAATATTGAATCATGTTGTCTTTTCATGGTTCATTGCTTCATTTATTCACGTATTTTAAAATGCCCTTTAATAGAGTTTCCAATATTTCTTTCTGAAGGTATTTATTTCCAAATACCTTGTGGTTGGGTTTTAACTGTGAATGGATCTTATTTTCTTTCTTTCTTTCCTTCTTTTGTTTTGTTTCTTTCTTTTGGTTGATTATTGCTGGAGTAGAAAAAAGCTATTGGTTTTTTGTAAGTTTTTATGGAATCTGGCAATCTTGCCGAATTCTCTCATTAATTTTAATTGCTTTTCTCTTTATTCTACTGGATTTTCTATGAAAATTATATCATCCTATTAGCCAGGCATGGTGACACACACTTGTAATCCCAGCTACTCCAGAGGCTGAGGCAGGAGAATTGCTTAAACTGGAGGCAGAGGTTGCAGTGAGCTGATTTGCACCACTGTACTTCAGCCTGGGCAACAGAGCAAGACTCTATCTCGAAAAAATAAAGAAAATTATATCATCCTTAAATACTGGTAGTTTTGTCTCCTCTAATCCTTATCCCTGTTACTTCTTTTTTTGTCTTACTGCATTGGTGAGGACCTCCAATACCATGTTGAACTGTAGTGGTGATAGTGAGTATCCTTCCCTTGCTGGAGACTTAAAGGGAATAAATACATTGTAAGTTTCTCCATGAAGTAAAATGTTTCATGTGGGTTTTTGGTAGATAGAGCTTACCAAGTTAAGGAAGATCCCTCCTATTCTTTGTTTTCTGGGAATTATAGTCACAAGTAGGGATCTAGCTTTATTAAATACTTTGTAAAATTATTAAGATAAATGTGATTTCCTTCTCTTGACCCCATAAACGTTTTACATTAAAATGATACCATTTCTGATGTTAAGTCACCCTTAACATTCTTAGGATAAACTTTACTTGGTTATAGTGTATTTTGTTTAGTTCACTTTTTCAAGTGTGTTATCCATGTCATTGGCATTTTTAATTACATTAGCATATAATTGGCCTTAATATTCTTAAATTTCTATTAAGTCTGTAGCGGTTTCTTCTTTCTCATTCAGTATTTTTTTTACATCTCCTCTTTTTTCATCAGTTTTGCCAGAAGCTTGTCTATCTTGTTCAGTCTTTTTAAACAGCCAGTTTCTGATTCAGTGTTTCTGAAGTACCTCCCAGCAATCCCATCTCTAGGAAGCAGTGAAATGAAGACGCTGGAGCCACCTAGGACTGAGTTCCTGGCTCTGCCACATGGTAGCTTTATAACCTTGGACATACGACTTGGCCCGCTGTGTGTTTACTTCCTCACTTGCAAAGTGGGAATAACCCTTCCTCAGAAGAGTTGTGAGGATCAGATTAGAAAGTTTACCTAAAGCACAGGAAATAGCTTTAGGTGTTTGGTACATGTTCATTCCCATCCTCAGTGCCCATATTAGTCAGGGTTCTCCAGAGAAACAGAACAAACTGGATGGGTATGTTTGTGTGTAAGAGAGATCCACAGAGAGACAGAGATTGATTGATTTTAAAGAATTGGCTCAGCTGGGCTTGATGGCTCATGCTTGTAATCCCAGCACTTTGAGAGACTGAGGCAGGCATATCACCTGAGGTTGGGAGTTCGAGACTAGCCTAGCCAACATGTAGAAACTCCATCTCTACTAAAAATACAAAAAATTAGCTAGGTATGGTGGCACATGCCTGTAATCGCAGCTACTCGGGAGGCTGAGGCAGGTGAGTCGCTTGAACTCGGTGGGCGGAGGTTGCAGTGAGCTGAGAACATGCCATTGCACTCCAGCCTGGGCAATGAGAGCAAAACTCTGCCTCAAAAAAAAAAAAAAATTGGCTGGTGGGATAATAAAGATGCAAGGCCAAAGTCTGCAGAGTGGGCTGTCGGGCTGGAGACGCTGGGAAGAGCTGCAGTTCCAGTCCACAGGCAGTCTGCTGGCAGAATTCCTTCTTGCTCAGGGGAGGTCAGTCTTTGGTCTACGAAGGCCTTCAGTGGTTTGGATGAAACACACCCACATTGTGGAGGGTAATCTGCTTTACTCGAAGTCCAGTGATTTAAATGTTAATTTAATCCAAAAAAAACACTCTCATAGAATCATCCAGAATAATGTTTGCCCAGCCAAACAAACATATAACATTAACCAGCACAGTACCTTTTGTGCTGTGTCCTTTCCCTGAAACGCTCCCCTCACAGGCCCCTGCTAGGCCACGTGGCACCTGCGCATAGATGAGAAAAAGGTGACCCTTCCCAGGGTAGGCACAGCTCCCTCCTCAGCCAGTGCCCATGTGCAGGACACACTCCTGCAAGGCAGCCCAGAAAACCGCCCTGCTCGGTTTTCTTTCCGCTCCTTTCTTGGGGTGCCAAAGGCTTTCCATCCTTCACAGTTCAGCTTGCTTGGTAAAGTCTTTCTTGTTCTCCCCTGGCTGGAAGTAATCTCTTCTCTCCACTCATCCACCCACCCCAAACCACATCACATGTCACGCTCTTTAAGGCATTCATCTCATTTATTTCATGTCTTAGTTATTTTGTGCAAAGGTCTTATTCCACTTGGATTAACCCCTTGAAATCAGCATCGTAGCTTCTCTTTAGGTCTTTAGGTCCTCACTCTGCCTGTGGGGCTCAGGAAGCATTCATTCTCCCTGTGTAAATGATTATCGCAATGTCAGCCTCAAAGGAAGACGCTGAGGCAAAATTAGTATAGAGAGTTTATTTGGGCCAAGATTTAGATTTAGGACTGCCTCCCAGGACACACTGCCAGGTTTCCGTGGGGAGGCTCAAGTGTTTAAAGATAAAAGCATGAAATCAGGAGAGGGGGAGATGACAAAGTCATTGGTCAGGAATTTGCATTGGTTTACAGAAATAACATGGTCAGTGATTGGCTATACTTTTTTTTTTTTTTTTTTTTTTTTTTTTTTTTTTTTTTTTTTGAGATAGGGTCTCACTCTGTTTCCTAGGCTATAGTACAGTGGTGCTATCATGGCTCACTGAAGCCTCGACTTCATGGGCTCAAGCGATCCCCCAGCGTCAGCCTCTAAATAGCTGGGACTACAGGCCCAGGCCACCACGCCCGGCTAATTTTTGTATTGTAGAAACAGGGTTTTGCCGTGTTCCCTGGACAGGTCTGAAACTCCTGAGCTCAAGCAATCCTCCTGCCTCAGCCTCCAAAGTGCAGGGACTACAGGCGTGAGCCACTGTGCCTGGCCTACCCCGTTGAACTATCAAGTGTGTAGCATTTTATGTCTGCTTGGTGTCAGTCTACATACTTCATACAGCAAGTGGCTTCAAGCCACTTACTAAATAACAATTATTATTTAGCTTGAGGGGGAGTGAGACATGACTGCTATAACATTTTATTTTTTTTTTTTGAGATGGAGTCTCACTTTGTCCCCAGGCTGGAGTGCAGTGGCTCAATCTCGGCTCACTGCAAACTCCACCTCCCTGGCTCAAGCAATTACAGGCACATACCACCACGCCTGGATGATTTTTGTATTTTTAGTAAAGACAGAGTTTCACCGTGTTGGCCAGGCTGGTCTCAAACTCCTGACCTCAAGCGATCCACCTGCCTTGGCCTTCCAAGTGCTGGGATTACAGGCGTGAGCCACTGCAGCTGCTATCACATTTTAAATGCCTCTCTGGGCCTGATAATTTATAGGGTCTCTCATTCCTCAGATAGAAGTTGTTTTTTTTCTTTTCAAAATGTAAGAGCTACAAAGAGCTTTAAATGGTATTGTGTGGGACAGGGCACAGGAGTCTTTATAGTCGGGGTGATGGCAGAGCACATGTGTGAAGGTGGTGACATGACTGTGACAGGCTTATTGAGCGTACCTGGTGCCAGGCACTGCACTTGGCACTTTTTTTTTTTTTTTTTTTTTTTGAGACAGAGTCTTGCTCATCTCCCAGGCTGGAGTGCAATGGCATGATCTCGGCTCACTGCAACCTCTACCTCCTAGGTTAAAGCGATCCTCTTGCCTCAGCCTCCTGAGTAGCTGGGATTACAGGCGCCCACCACCACTCCCAGCTAAGTTTTATATTTTTAGTAGAGACAGGGTTTCACCATGTTGGCCAAGCTAGTCTCAAACTCCTGAACTCAGGTGATCCACCCGCCTCGGCCTCTCAAAGTGCTGGGATTACAGGCGTGAGCCACTGCGCCCAGCCCTGCACTCAGCACTTTCATGGAGCATCTCACTAAGTCCTAAAATAACCTTTGAGATTGGTACAGTTATTAGCTCCATTTTGCGGCCAGAGAAGCCTGGGCTGGTTGTGGCATGGGGATACCAGCCTGGTCTGCCTGACTTTAGAGTCTGTGCTTTCAGTTACTAAGGCAAGCTGACTTCCTGGTCTGTATAGCAGTTACCATTTACTGAGGACTTACTACAATAGCAGACGTGATGTTTGCTGCTTTACAAAGTTATCCCTAATCCTCAGGGCAAAAGTGTAAACTACAGGGTATCCTCACTTGGCAGATGAGGAAACAGAGTCTCATTAAGGTTAAGTGACTTGCCCCCAAAACCAAGGCCCTTTCCTCGGCATCACATGCACAGTGTTCGAGACCATAAGAAAGCCTTTGGGAGGCTGAGGCGGGCAGATTACTTGAGGTTGGGAATTCAAGACCAGCCTGACCAACATGGAGAAACACCATCTCTACTAAAAAATACAAAAATTAGCTGGGTATGGTGGTGCGTGCCTGTAATTCCAGCTGCTGCGGAGGTTGAGGCAGGAGAATTGCTTGAACCTGGGAGGCGGAGGTTGCAGTGAGCTGAGATCGCGCCATTGCACTCCAACCTGGGCAACAAGAAGGAAACTCCATCGCAAAAAAAAAAAAGAAGAGAAAAGAAAGCCTTCAGCTGGAGTGTGGAGCATGATTTGTGTAGGAAGCTGGAAGTGGCTGCGGTTAGAAAGCTGGAGCTGCCTCAGGCTGCATAAGCCTTGCCTTCCAGGGTGGATGATCGGGAATGACTTTTGTAAATGCAGGGTCCTGAGCAGTGATCTAGATTTGAGGATGGGGTGGGATGAGATGGATACCTGAAGGCCAAGGTAATTCAAGCCAGCTGGAGTTCTGCCCAGATCTGTGCCTGGGGAAGCGCAGAGCTTCGCACAGCTGCAAGGCCATCGGAGCATCCAGGCCTGCTGAGAAAGTGATGTTTGAGCAGAGCTGTGGCTGGCGGAGGTGAGCCTACCCCTGGCATCTCAGCGATGGCATCTCCTTGTGCCTGCTTGTTTCTCTAGGGTGTCAGGAGCAACTTTCCTCAGCCCCCTAGATCTCTCTTGATATAACTTCTTTATTTTTTAATTGTTTTTTTGGTTTTTTTTTGTTTTTTTCCTGAGACAGAGTCTTGCTCTATCACCCAGGCTGGAGTGCAGTGGCATGATCTCAACTCTCAGCAAACTCCACCTCTCAGGTTCAAGTGATTCTCCTGCCTCAGCCTCCCTAGTAACTGGGATTACAGGTGCCCACCACCACGCCCAACTAATTTTTTTTTTTCACTCTTGTTGCCCAGGCTGAAGTGCAATGGCGTGATCTCAGCTCACTGCAGCCTCCACCTCCTGGGTTTGGGCAATCCTCCTATCTTAGCCTCCTGAGCAGCTGAGATTACAGGCACCCGCCACCACACCCAGCCCATTTTTTGTATTTTTAATAAAGAGTTTCACCATGTTGGCCATGCTGGTCTTAAACTTCTGACCTCAGGTGATCCACCTGTCTCGGCTTCCCAAAGTGCTGGGATTACAAGCGTGAGCCACCTCGCCTAGCCCTGATATGGCTTCTTAAGAGCTGCTGGGAGACCCCCAGGGTGGGGAGGTGGGGATTTGTCCAGGATGAAGTACAAGCACATGGCCTGCACCCCCAGGCCCGTCTCCAGGACTCAGATGTGCTCAAAGGTAGGTGGACGTGGAGCCCCAGGAATGATACAGGTGAAGTTTTTGACTCTCGGCCACCAGTGACCCCAGGGTGAGGTGGTCCCATCTGTGCAGGGTGTGCCTCTATGGGCGTGTCATCACCATGTGCCTCACCAGTGCCCTTCTCCACTCAGGTCATTGCTGTGGTCATGGACCTCTTCACGGATGGTGATATCTTCCAAGACATTGTGGATGTTGCCTGTAAGCGCCGGGTCCCAGTGTACGTCATCCTGGACGAGGAGGGAGTGAAGTATTTCCTGGAGATGTGTCAGGGCCTACAGCTCACCGACTTCCGGATTCGGGTGAGTTCCACCTGTTGGGCGGGAAGTGGGCAGGAGATGAGACAGAGACTCCCTCTGCCCCTTCCCATGGCTCCCCCTGCCTCTTCCCTGGTTGAGGTCTCAGGTGAACTTCAAGATCTCAACCCGTTTCCTTCTGTCAAAAGTGAAGCTTTTAACCTTGGCTTTATTGTTTGCTACTGAATCATATGCCCAGCTTCAGTTTTATCCCTAGGCAGCTGAGGGAGGCAGCTCTAGCCTGGTCCTGGGGTGCTCAGCCTGCGGAATTACTGGCTTCAAAGTGAGGGCTGTGGTTCTCTTCTGGGGATTTTTGAGAACAGGCAGGAGCCACCCTGGGCTTGTCCATGCCTGAAGCAAGATTTGGGAACTTCTTCCTGTTCACCGAAGAGGGTTCTGTTAGGCTGTAGGAAGCAGAGCGTCTTGGGAAGACAGGAGCCTGCAGGCAGGGTCCATAGACAAGGGGCTCTTCCTCTGCAGAAGCAAGGACCTGGCACAGAGGCCAGCCCAACGCCGGTGACAGGGCCTTCTGCTCTTCCCAACAGAACATCCGTGTCCGCTCTGTGACAGGCGTCGGCTTCTACATGCCCATGGGGAGGATCAAGGGGACCCTTTCCTCAAGGTTCCTGATGGTGGATGGTGACAAAGTGGCCACTGGATCTTACAGGTGAGTTGGGCCAAGTCAGAGAAGGGCCCAGGAGGCCTTGATTCCAGGTAGGTGTTCAGGAAGATGCCAGACTGGAGCCTCCGTTATCGTGAGTTGTAGCAGGTATCATCTGACGCAATGGCAAAGGACAGCTTTCTGCCCAGTCCCTCCCCACAAACTTCCTGGTTCATGGATTATTCTAGAAAAAGGGTCAACTCTTCCTAGGCATTAAGCACTGCGTGCTTTCATGGTCCATTTGCAGCCAGTTGCATTTTGAGGCTAGTTGTTAGGTAGGACAAGCAGGAAGTAGGATGTGTAGGATGCACCAGGTCTGGAAAGAAATGGGAAGGTGTGGTGTGCAGGGAGTGTTGCCAGATTTTTTTTTGAGATGGAGTCTCACTCTGTTGCCCAGGCTGGAGTGCACTCATATAATCTCAGCTTACTGCAACCTCCACCTCCCGGGTTCAAGTGATTCTCCTGCCTCAGCCTCCTAAGTAGCTAGGATTACAGGTGCCCGCCACCATGCCCAGCTGATTTTTGTATTTTTAGTAGGGATGGGGTTTCACCATGTTAGCCAGGCTGGTCTCCATCTCCTAACCTCAGGAATATTTTCTTTTTTTGAGACAGAGTCTCGCTCTGTCGTCCAGGCTGGAGTGCAGTGGCGCAATCTCAGCTCACTGCAACCTCAGTTTCCCGGGTTCAAGCGATTCTCCTGTCTCAGCCTCCTGAGCACCTGGGATTACAGGCATGTGCCATCATGCCCAGCTAATTGTTTTTGTATTTTTAATAGAGACAAGGTTTTACCACATTGGTCAGGGTGGTCTCGAACTTCAGACCTCAAGTGATCCACCTGCCTCAGCCTCCCAAGTGTTGGGATTACAGGTGTGAGCCACTGCACCCAGCCTCAGAATTCTGATTTAAAAATAATTTGCCAAGAACACAAGAGAATGTATGTGTGTAATCTCTGCCCTCCAAGTAAATTAAAATAAAGGTGAGGTGAAGAGAGACCTGAGCACATGAAACAGCGAATAGCGGTGTAAGTCCTGTTACATGGTCAGAGTGTGGGTTTCTGCAGACGCTAAGTGCCTGAAAAATTCAGAGAAGAACCAATGCAGAGTAGAATAATATTCATAATAGTGGCAGCTGCAGTTGCTATTTTCCAATGTGTGTTTGTGCCAGGGACTGAGCTAAATGTTTTATATGAGTTGCTTCATTTGAGCCTCACAACAACCCTGTGAACATATGTGCTGGGAGCCCCAGTTTACAAGGCACACAAGCATATAAACCCGGTTTGAATCCAGGCCTGACTTCCCGTGCTCTTTCCCTGCACCCAGCTGCCTGCTCGAATCATTTGAGGCCCAGAGCTGGGGAAAGGGAGGCCGTGGTGAGTGGAGGGAGGTCAGGCCAGCGCGTGAGCTACGAGGAGCTTTCCACCTGCAACAAGGATCCAGCCACAGCAGAGGGGCAGGTGGGGGTGGGGGCAGGGCAAGAGAGAGGCCTGTGCACACAGGACTTGCTTTTCTGTCCCCACGTTCCCAGGTTCACCTGGAGTTCCTCCTACGTGGACAGGAACCTCCTCCTCTTCCTGACGGGGCAGAACGTGGAGCCCTTTGACACAGAGTTCCGGGAGCTGTACGCCATCTCTGATGAGGTGGACTTGCACCGGCAGCTGGGCCTGGCAGGCCACCACTACTCCTCCACCGTGGCTCGCAAGCTCATCAACCCCAAGTATGCCTTGGTGGCAGGCAGCCGCCACCCGCCGGGGGAGATGATGCGCTGGGCCACCCGGCAACAGCGGGAGGCCGGTGGCAACCCGGAGGGGCAGGAGGAGGGCAGTGGCAGCGAGTCAGCCCGGCGCCTGGAGAGCTTCCTGAGAGACCTGGCTACGGTGGAGCAGGTGCTGCCCCCTGTGGAGCCCATCCCCTCAGGGGAGCTGAGCCGGAAGGATGGCAGGATGGTCTCTTGCATGCACATAGACCTAAAGCCCACATCCCGAGAGGCGCCCAGCCGAAATGGCACAGGAGAAGCGGCCCGGGTAGAGGCCGCCCCTGCCAGGGGGCGCAGGCACCTCAGCAGCAAGTTGTTGGACCGCTGGTCCAAGAGGCCCACCGTGCCCAATGGCGTGGCCAGCTCCCACTCCACCGAGACCTTCTCCGAGGTGGAGCTTCTGATGGGGAAGAAGCCCAACGAGGACTCCAGTGCCGAGGTCTCAGGTGAGCCCTCTTCCCTCTGCCCCGGTGCCTCCCCAGGCCTCTGGCCCTGGCCCCATATCGGCACTTAGCCAGGAGCAGTGCCTGGTGTCTGCAGAGGAGCAGATTGTATCTGCGGGCACGCAGAGGGCAGGAGCTCTGGGCTTCTAGGGCCCTCGGTTCCCATTCTGGCTCCGGCCTTTGGCTGCCTGGTGGCCTTGGGCAAGTCCCACAGCTCTGAGTTCCACTTTCCTCTTCTCTGAAAGAAGAGAAGGGTTCCAGGCTTGTCATGGAGTGGTCTGAGAGCTTCTGGTACTACTGCTGGAAGGCCCTCAGATCGGCCCTCATGGTAACCCAACAAATAAGTCAGCTGAGCAAGTTTCTCCTTTGTAAATGAAGAAGCGGAGGTGCCGCACAGGGGTGCACGGCCGCAGTTCAACCCTGGCTCTGAGCTCAGGGCTCTTTCTAGCAATCCTTCTTCCTTGACACATCACCTGTTGTCAGGATCTCACCCAGTCAGACACACCCCACCCTCCCCTGTGCCCCACCTGACCCACTTTCCTGTCTCTGTACTGAGCAGTCTGACTTGGTTTCTCCATGTGTCCCTCTGCTGAGTGCTGTCTGCCCGGCTGCTTGTTCCTGGGTGGGATTGTTCCATGGCAGCGTCTTTCTGGGCATCTCTCTGGGATCCCCAAGAGGCACTGGACTTTATGCCTCTCGCTGCGGCAGTCTCTGGGGTGGCCTTTCAGGCGGCTGGTGGTGGTGCCTTTCTCATCTCTGTGTCCCCGAGTTGGAGGAGTTTCTGTGATGGGATTTCTCCCTCCATCACTGTGGAGCCCAGTGATGAGAACCAGGCTCTGGCTGGCCAGGTGGGCTTTGGCAGGGCCTGGATTTGGTCCTGGACAGTCCAAGGACGTCCAGGATACACGTGTCCCTGCACCCCAGCTTTGACAAGATTGTGGTGGCATGAGAGCAGGGAGCACAAGTGTCATCCCTTCTGCTGATTCGCCAGCACTGCCTTAGAACCTTGACACACACAGTCCATGCTCAGGAAATGTTGGCTAACTTTGCTTCTTGGAGTTTGAACAGGCCTGGGCGCCTCTGTGGCTGTGGGCACAGTGGGAGCGCCAGGGCGTTCCCTCCATTTGGCCTGGGGACGTTGACTGAGCTGCTGGCCTGCCAGGTCCTGCACAGGCTCTGTCTCTTCCCTCCTGCCCCCACAGCCACCCTTCAAGCACAGAGGTGGCAGGTGGCTCAGAGGTGACTAAAGGGGTCCCAGGCCATGGGGAGTCGTAGTAGGGCCAGGATTCAAGACCAGGCCTGGCCATGGTCGGGTTCTGTCAGGGAAGGGGTGGCCAGCCCCGACCCTGTTCCTCCTGGACTCACTGGCTCCCCTAACACCAGCAGCTGCTGCTGCTCTGTACCTCTGGTTTGGAGGAAGGGTTGCCATGGTGAACACCTGGCAGGGAAGGGAGGAGGAGGAGGGGGTGAGCCCAGCAGCCGCAAGCGCTGTTTCCCAAGTCCTGACCGAAGTGGAGTGGAAGCTTCCTCCTCCTTCAGCCCCTCGCCCTGAGGTACAGTTTCCATGGAAACACAAAGCCCTTTGTCTTGTCCCTTCCCACCTGCCTTCTGCACCTCCCTCCCCATTGGTCTCCCTGCCCCTGCTGTGACTCTCTGGTATCTGCCCACGGTGCTCAGGAGCCAGCCTTGCAGACACAGATGGTGCCCTCAGAAACCTCCGCTCCAGGACACCTGATGCTGGGACAGAGAGAGAGGGAAGAGCAAGGGCGAGGGCACGGACAGCCAGGAAGGTCCGGGGATGCCCAGAGCCATCACCCTGTTCCTCGTCCGTCCTTTAGATGAACACAGAGCGGCCTCCTCCGGCAAGGCCTCTACCTACTTGTGGGGGCACTTAGGACCTGCTGCCCTGAAATTCACGCTCCCCGACAGGACCTTTCCACCCTCCAGAGGCCTGGGGGAGACGCAGGAGCTCTTCTGCCTTTGGTTGTTTTTGTTTGTTTTCAAGACAGCGTCTCACTGGACTGCAGTGGTGCGATCACAGCTCACCTCAACCTCCCGGGTTCAAGTGATTCTCCCACCTCAGCCTCCTGAGTAGCTGGGACCACAGATGTGTGCCACCATGCCTGGCTAATTTTTAAAATTGTTTGTATAGGCTGGCTGTGGTGGCTCACACCTGTAATCCCAGCACTTTGGGAGGCCAAGGCAGGTGGATTGACTGAGCTCAGGAATTCGCAACCAGCCTGGACAAAACAGTGGAACCCTGTCTCTACTCAAAAAAATTATAAAAATGAGCCAGGTGTGGGGGCGTGTGCCTGTAGTCCCAGCTACTCAGGAGGCTGAGGCAAGAGAATTACTTGAACCCCAAAGGCAGAGGTTGCAGTGAGCCAAGATCGCATCACTGCACTCCAGCCTGGGTGATAGAGTAAGACTCTGTCTCAAAATAATAATAATAAATTTTTTTAATGCAACAAACAGTCTGTACTGCTGGACAGGGCTTAGGAATTACTGCTGGACAGGGCTGGGATTATAGGCAAAAGCCAGTGTGCCCAGCCGGGAGCTCCTCTCCTGAAAGGCCCTTTTTCATGGCCTCCAGCCTCCCATATCGTGGCTAAGTGAGGCTGCTTCAGTGCCTCCCCCCCCGGTGGCAGCAGCTAAGCCACCAGGACTGCATGTGTGAGAAGGTGGGCCCTTGACAGCGTGGGGCTCCCACAGTGGGAATCACTGAGAACCTGAGCTCCTGCCTTCGGGCCCCCACCCAGGGAAGAAGTCTCCTTCCCCTGGTGAACGTTCAGAACCTCCCAGAGCAGCCTCCACATGGCTCTCAGCTCCAGACACACTGCTCCCTGTACCCAGGACATATCCATCCCCTCCCTGGGGCTGTGTCCTCATCTAGAGGAGGAGGGGGTACACCTGGGAGGGTTTCCGAGGTCCCCTGGAGTTCAGATTCTGCCTCTGTTCTCTCCATCTCTGTTGCCCTCTTGTCAAGGGAGAACCTGGGTGGATGACAGTTTCTGTCATAAGAGAAAAAATAGAAAAAGCTCCGAGCTGACAGCCTGTAAAATTGCTTGATAAGAAGTATATAGTTGTCAAACAGCATGCAAATTTTTTGCAAACCCAGGTGTGGCCCTTGGGAGAACCTTAGAGAAGTTGCTTCCTCCTCCGGGGCTGGGGATCCAGCTGGGAGTCAGGGGTGCCCGGCTGTTGCAAGGCTCATGGCGCCCTCTAGTGGTGGAAGCTAGGCACCTCTTGTACTGCTTCCCTCAGCCCTCGCCTTGTGCTGGAAGCACTCAGCCCTTATTCTGGAGCTTCTGTGCCCTCCAGGAGCTCTGCACAGACTCCCTGGGGCAGGGAACCCCAACCTCACAGGGCAGCCTCAGTGGAGAGCCTTGTTAAAAATGCAGCAAGGCCAGTCGCGGTGGTTCATGCCTGTAATCCCAGTGCTTTGGGAGGCTGAGGTGAGAAGATCACTTGAGCCCAGTTCTAGACCAGCCTGAACAACATAGCAAGACCCTGTCTCTTAAAAAACAAAAAAGTTGGGGGTAGTGCCATTTGCCCGTAGTCCCAGCTACTGCTACTTGGGAGGCTGAGGCAGGAGCATCACTCAAGCCCAGGAGGTCGAGGCTGGAGTTAGCTGTGATTGTGCCACTGCACTCCAGTCTGGACAACAGAGAGACCCTGTCTCAAAAAAATGAGTAAATATGAATTTTAAAATGCAACAAATACACTTTGGGAGGTCGAGGAGGATGGATCACCGGAAGTCCAGAGTTCGAGACTAGGCTGGCCAACATGAAAACCCCATCTCTACTAAAAATACAAAAATTAGCTGGGCATGGTGGCAGGTACCCATAATCCCAGCTACTTGGGAGGCTGAGGCAGAAGAATCGCTTGAACCCAGGAGGTGGAGGTTGCAGTGAGCTGAGATACACCACTGCACTCCAGCCTGGGCAACAGAGCAAGAGACTGTCTCAAAATAATAATAATAAATTTTTTTAATGCAATAGTCTGTACTGCTGGACAGGGCTTAGGAATCTGCATTTTAAACTAGGGCCCTCCTTTTCCAGTGTAGCTCCCCATTGTAGAGGGTCCTCAGACCAGCAGACTCCAAGCAATTGAGGAAACACAGATGAGGCCCTGCCCTTGGGGCGCTGCCAGCTTAGGGGAGGAAGTCCCCGTGCTGTGCCTGAGACCCCACCCAGTTCCCCCAGGGAGATGACTGGGAAATGGCCAATGCTTTTAAAGAAAGTGGTGAGAGACACGGTGCCATATGCTGTCACATGGAACTGGCGTCCTCCTCACTGCCATCCTGCCTGCTGACAGCATCTCACAGTGAGACCCCTGAGGTTCAGAGAAGCCAGGCCCTGTGCCCACGCTGCCTAGGGAGGAAAGGGCAGTGTGGTCTCCTGCCTCCCAGCCTTCTGCAGATATCATGGCTGTCTCCAGAAGGCTAGGGTTGGCACCGTTTCCCTGCATCTTTAAAGACTGTTTGAAAGAGCCAGAGCCCTGAATAGAGGACAGACCCTTTCCCCTGGTGTCATGGGGGCTGGGAGGAAGATGAGAGTGACAGCTTGCTTCCCAGAGTGCTTCGGGGTCCTTTCCTGCCCCAAAGCCCCTGGGCCTGTGCTTTGCTTCCCAGTTTCTTTGAGGTGACCTGCAGTGACAGTCCCTTTCCAGAACTATCCTGGAGTCCCTGGATTTATGTGTGGCTGACCCCCGGCTAGCAGTGTGGTCTGGCTCTGTAGAACTGTGGCTGCTGGGCTTCTGGACTGGGGACTTGTTCTCCTGTGTCATCCCCTAGGGCCACAGGTCTCTGATCTCGCTCCTGCTCTTGCTGCATCTGCTGCTGCTGCTGTGATGACTGTTGTTACTAGGATAGCACCAAACCCCTAAGTAGCTTGCCATGGCTGTCTCATTCATTTCGTTCAATAAATATGTATCTAGGAAGTCTGCTCTGTGCCAGGCCCTGCTCTCAGTTCCTGGCACAGCCGTGAACAGAATGAACATGGCCCCTGCTTTTATGGAGCATGTTAACCTGGGGAAAGACCAGGATGCGGGAAGAATGACCCGTCTATAAAGGGTGCCAGGAAAGGCCTCTCTAACCAAGGAGCATCTGAGCAAGACTTGAATGGAAGGCAAGGGCCCTGTGGACATCAGAGGGAAGATTCTTCCAGACACAGGAATGTGAAGCCCCGGAGCCTGGAGAAGATGGAGCCCATCGTCCTTATCATGGCTTCCGTGGGGGTGACCTCTGCCTTGCCCTCTCATACCACCTCACCTGCCAGCAAAGCAGACTGACTTCAGGTCCTGAGTGCCCCAGGTTGTCCCCCCACACCCCACGCTATATCACACAGCTCCACTTCACTAAGCGGCCCCTCCTCACCCTGCACCCCTGTTTTCAGCTCCACCTTGAGGTCACCTCTGAAGCTTGACTCTCATTAGCCTTCTTCGAGCCACCCCACCCAGGCCACACATCCTTTGTAAAAAGGACTATGCTGGCTGTTGATGCACCTTCCCCGTTCACCTGAGCAGGGCCGACTCCCTGCATGTGGTCAGCTCCCAATACCTGAGCACTGTGGGAGTGAGAGGGGACACAGAATTTGTCCTCAAGCCAGTTTCTCTGTCCTGTCTGGGACAAGGAAATGAATTCTGAAAGCCTGCTCTCTCTAGGTTTTCACCGCCCCTCCTTACAAAAAAGTGGGGAGCACGGTGCTGGTGAAGACTGGCCCTGCCCCTGCCTTGCCCAGACTTCTCCTGGAGACAGCCAGCTGGGCAGTGTGCAGGCTTGGGAAGCAGCTCCCCTCACCCCCAGCCCACACTGCACCCCCAACTACACCGCCTCCCCTATTTAATGATCCGGGGGTTGATCTGCTTACCTGACTCCAAAATGCTGCTGCCTCTGGGGAGGAAGTGACATCTGCTTAGTGGGCCATGCACATCAGACCAGCTGAGGAGGGGACATGGGGACAGATGTGTCCTTGCAGCAGTGAGTGACCCTAGGACGGCCACCTTTCATCCCCCAGCAGAGCCGCCCCAGACATGCCCCACCGTGGAAGGTGACCCCCAGCGCCTTGGCCATGGAGCCCCTGGGGCGCAGCCTCCTGCCCAAGGGTGGGGGAACACCCGTAACGAGGGCACAGCTGGATTTATGGTCAGTCCCGAAGAGCTCTGCCTGGATGGACAAGGCCCAAGGCTGCGGGTCACAGCACAGTCAGCAGGAGCAGTGGCCCATGGGGCGCAGCAGGGGCAGGAGCTCCAGGTTGGGTTCTGTTCAGTGTGTCCTGCTCCTGGCCCAGGAGAGGAGGCAGATGAGGCCTCAATAAAATTCATAGCTGAAGTGATGCTGGAAGGTTGTGTGAGCATCAGGGAAGCAGCCCTTGCTGTGTGGAGGGGAACTGGCAGGAAATAACATGAGTGGCTTCCACCTGGTGAGAGGTAGCACCCATACCTCACAGGCCTGCAGGTGTCAGGCCTGCCTCCATGCTCCCCAGCACTGCCTCTGGAGGTCTGAGAGCAGGAATCCAGCCAAAGGAACAGCAGGCCTTTTCTCGGGACTGTAAAGGAAGTGGGAAAGATGGGTAGAGGCCTGGGAAAGAGGAGAAATCAGCTTCTCTGGCTTCGGGGGTGGGGGAGGCAGCTTTCTCTCCCCTTCCTTCCCTGCAACCAGCGCGTTCCACTCCGTCCTCCCCTCAAAGCTGCCCCCTGAGCAATGTGATCCACCCCACAGTGGCTGCTCTTGGCCAGCACCAGCCCTTCCCGAGGCTCGTGCTTTCCTTCCAGCCTAGGTGGCCTGAGGCAGAAGGAGCTGGAACTGAGCTGGGAAGACCAGGTTCCGCCACTGCCACTGGCTGGTTCTGGGAGCTGTGGGCACCTCAGCGGTAGAATGGAGGGCCTGGGATGGGAGGGAACCAGATAGAAGGGCCGTGGTCTTGCTTTGCAGGCTGAGGAACTGCATGTATTAGCTGGTAGTGAGTGGCCTCTAGGTGAGATGGGTGTGTGTGTGTGTGTGTGTAAGAAAGCAAGTTTATTAGAAAAGTAAAAAAACAAACGAATGGCTAGTCTGTAGACAGAGCAGCCAAGACTTTGGAGTTGACGGTTCTCGTTGTTAGTTCTGGAGCCCGGATTCTTCCCCCGCCCCTCTGGTCAGGAGATGGCGGTCACCTTGATGCCTCACCCAGTGGGGCTTCTGCCACACCGCTGGGACAGGCAAGATCTCTCCTGCTTTCCTGGTTTCCCAATTAGCAGCTTGGGAGGGAGACAGCGACCCCAGCCTCTCAACGGCAGGCGTGGACAGCACACAGGGTAGGGGCTGAAGCTGAATCCACCATGCGTTTGACTCACATCCTTCTCCACCTCTGTCCTTTGTCTCCGCAGGTAAAACAAATCCCAGTTCTGCCAAGCCCAACAAGTGCGTGATTTCCTGAGCTGCGGGATGGGGGTGGGCAGGACGTGTGGATGCCCGCCTGCCCTGCCCTGTGCTGTGGAGAGCGCGGATCACACACTGCACCAGTTTGCACATCAGACTCCAACTGGCCTCCTGCCCTGCAGCCTCCGTCCTGGCCTCAGGGAGCCTGGATCCCACATGAGAGGGTCTGAAGCATCTCAATCATACACCAGACTGTCGGTGGCTGGGCGGGGGTCGGTGTCACAGTCTCCTTGTTTACATGAAGTATAAGCTTGACCAATGTCCACCTCCTTTGTGTCCTATCCCCTCCGTTGCTTGCCAGATGGGGTGAGGGCCATTCTTTAAACCTTAATGGGACGGGGTATCTGGGGCAGCCACAGCGGCTTCTCCTTCCCCAGGCTTCCTGGTACTTCTGGTTTCCCCCTCCAAGAGATTGGTGGAATAAAAGGGAGAGGGCAGGGCTCTGAGCCCCGGATCCGAGTTCCAGTCTCGCTCTAGCCTCTGAACTCCAGGTGTCAGGTGCAGCCAGCACTGCAGGGACTCTGAATTGAACGAGGGGAAGATGCCTCGGCCAACCCCAGTCAGTGGCAGAATCTGATGCTGCTGAGGTCTCTCTCCCCTCCTGGTGCCGTCCTGGCGGTGTCGGCGTGAGTGGTCCAGACCTCCTCTGCCGCTGCCTGCTGTGGGCCTATATGGGGGTCTTTACAGTGCCTTGATCTGGGACTGCTCCTTCCCTCAGTAAGGTTTGGTTTACAGCCCATGTCAGAGAGGGGGCTTGGCCAAGACGGGGTTTGGGGGTATAGGAGGCTGGGCCCCGATGATAGGAGCATTTGTCTTTTCTCTCCCAACCCTAACAGGGTCCTCGGACCCCTTCACCAACCATGGCCTCCCAGGTTACACTTCAGCCAAAGATTGGCCTTCGCCTCCTGCGGGAGTCAGGCTATTTTTAGGAGCCTGTGCCTCACCAGAGCAAGTGGGCCTAATTGCCATGGTGCTGGGCCAGAGACCCAGTAAGCAGTTCCACCCTGCCCTCCCCAGTTGGGTGACGAGAGGGCAGAGGAGAGTTTGTGAACAGACCTGGGAGAAATTGCCAAACTGCAGACTGTGAGCTGGTCCTGCAGGCAGGGCGATGGGGGATCCGAGCCCTGTGAAAAAGCCAGACAGCAGCCTTTCTTGTCCTCTGACCTCTGAACCAAACTCTCATCCTCTTTCTTTCCTTCTAAAACATGCTAGGACACTACCAGCACCCGGGGGAGGGGAAGAGATGTCTGCAAGGCAGCTGACGGGGGAGCAAGGAAAGGGGCCGCTCTGGCTGGGCTGCAGGAGCCAGGCATTGCTGAGGAAGCACGAAGTGGGGACCACGTGTGGTGGCCATTGAGGAAACACAGTCTCTCTGGCAGTGGGGAGGAAAAGGGAAGGGAAGGGTGAGCCTGTCCCCAGGGTCTCCTCTGTCAATCCCTAGGCTGGCTTCTGGGGTGTGTGGAGAAGGGACTCCCTGAACTTTAACGCTTCTGGGAAGTGCTTCCTTAGGCACGAAGGCCAGGAAGTGTGGCCCGTGTTCGTTCTGGAGGGGAGGGAAGGGAGAGGGGGGAGGTGGGGGATGGGGCTGTTACACCTCAGCTCGAAGTGGAAATCTTGAAGGTACAGGACACGAGATGTGTAAATTGCGATGGGGCAGGGAGATGACCCTCTGGTGTGGAGGGCGGGCACCTCAGGATGAGGGAGGCGGCCTGGGGAAGGGATTGGCCTCCAAGCAAATCAGCCAAGGGCATCTTGTGCCTCCCCTACCAGAAGAGCAGACCCTGCTTTGACCCTTTACCCCCTCTAGACCCAAAGCACACCCAGTTCCCTCGCCTGCCCTGACATCTAATCTGGAAGGATCCCTGATTGGAATCTCCATGTCACCACAGCCTTGAGCCAGGCCTTCCTTTCTGCGTCAGTTTCTCTATGTGCCAAGATGGAGTTTTTTCACACTTCCTTGATAGAGATGATGGGAGACCATATGTTGGAGAGGAAGCAAGTTAGCCTAGTGGGAAGAGGGCCGGCCACAGGGCAGGACTGCCCAGGCAGGGCACCTCTCCCCACCGGCCTGTGTCCTCATCCTTATAGCAGTGTGGGCAAGATGGTGTCTGGCCCCACCCACTCCAAAAGGCTTGAGACCAAAACTGTAGTCCAGAGATTGCAAGGATCTTGAACTCACAAAATGCAGCTCTTCATGTTTGCCTGTCTGCCCAGGCGCCGTCCCACTCTGTTCTGCCTCTTGGCTTCTCAGCTTTGAGTATGCCTGCCCTCTGTTCCAGCACATGCACATGCTTTGTGAAGTCGTCTCTTACTCATCAGATCTCAAGGGTACATCTGGCCCTCCCAGTTGGATGGCAAGTTCAAGGGTGGATCATGCCCTGGCTTCCTGCACAGCAGCTTCCACAAGGCTGGTTACGCTGGAAGGGCTGTAGGAGGAACAAGATACGGCAGCAGTCTCAGTGCTGGGGTCTGGCTTTGCTGCCCTCCACCCCACACCACCACCAAGCTGCTATCTCACTTTCTGCATCAGCTTCTGTAGGGTAAGTGTTCACAGTTGGTGCAGCTCTTTGGGAAGCCTAACCTCCCAATGAGCTGAGCCCCTGGGGAGGCTGCCACGATTGCTTCTGCCCCATAAGGGCGGGAAGCACAGGACTCCTGGATGGGGTTGGGAGGCTGCCCCTTGAGATTTGGGAAAACTTCCCATCTCCTTAGCTACCTGCCCTTAGAGTATGGTTAATGCTATCCGTGATCCCTCGAGGGCTTTCAAGATAGCGTGGGTTGACATCACTACCCTCTGCCTCTGTAGAACTTTATAGAAAGGCTAGGCAAAAAATAAGACCCAGAGATATGGAAGAAACTGGCCAAAGTTTTTCTTAATGACTGTGTTGCCTTTCTCTTTTTCATATTTATTGAGTACCTACTATGTGCTAGTCGTCATGCTAGATGCTTTAGTCACATGTAGGTTTCAAACTAAGAAAAGCTCAAGAAGGAGCCCTTTACAAAATTAAGTTTTACTGTGTATTGGGGGAGTGGGGCTCATAAAGCCATAGGATGAGCAGCACAGGTAATTGTTCATTTGTTTTTTGAGATAGTGTCTCACGCTGTTGACCAGGCTGGAGTGCAATGGTGCTATCTTGGCTCACTGCGACCTCCGCCTCTTGGGTTCAAGTGATTCTCCGGCCTCAGCCTCCCAAGTAGCTAGGATTACAGGTATATGCCACCACACCCGGCTAATTTTTGTATTTTTAGTAGAGGCAGGGTTTCACTATATTGATCAGGCTGATCTCAATCTCCCAGCCTCAGGTGATCCACCAGCCTTGGCCTCCCAAAGTGCTGGGATTACAGGCATGAGCCACCACGCCCGGCATGGCACAGGTTCATTATCCCCATCTTTCAAATGAGGAGGTACACAACTCTCCGCAAATCCCACATCACAGAGAATGCAGGTCTGAGCCTGCTCCTTGAGCTCAGGGTCTCAGCACTGGTGATGCTTTGGAGCTGCAGAATCCTCTGTTGGAGACAGGCTCTCCTGGGCATTGTAGTATATTTAGCAACATCCCTGGCTTCCACCTACTAAATGCCACCAGCACCCCTTCAGATGAGACCACCAAAAATGTCTCTAGAGGTTACCACATGTCCTTTCGGGGATAAAAGTGCCCCCATTGAGAGCACTGGCTCTTTTCTCTCCAGCCCTGACCTGACGGCCTGCACAACCCGCTTCTCTGAAGTGCTTCAGGCACACTCTGCCCTGGGCACCTTGGACACAGCACTCTGGCCCAGAGAAGTTGGCTGACTTGCCCGAGACACTGCTTCCTGGGAGATGCAGTAGCATCTTCCCTCTCTGTTCTGGTTACCTTTTTTTTTTTTTTTTTGAGATAGAGTCTTGCTCTGTCTGTCACCAGGCTGGAGTGCAGTGATGTGATCTCAGCTCACTGCAACCTCCACCTCCTGGGTTCAAGCAGTTCCCTGCCTCAGCCTCCCAAGTAGCTGGGACTACAGGTGCACACCACCACGCTGGGCTAATTTTTTATATTTTAGCAGAAATGGGGTTTTACCATGTTGGCTAGGATGGTCTTGATCTCCTGACCTCATGATCCGCCCATCTCAGCCTTGCACAGTGCTGGGATTGCAGGCGTGAACCGCTGTGCCCGGCTGTCCTGGTTATCTCGCTTAGCTCCTCAGCACTTGGTACCCCCACGCCAGGTGTGTTTATGAACACACATCTGCCTCACTCCACTCAGCTCCCTGTCAGTCCCACCCCTTCCTTCAGGCTCAGCTACGACCTGCACAGACAGCACCACTGCACATGCCGGCATGTGCCTAGCAGTGGACCCACCTCCAAAAGCAGCCAGTGCTGACAGAAGAGAGCCTTCCACACTCAAGTTAGGCCAAGCGGGAATCGCTACCTGACTGTCACGACCACATTCTCAGTGAACACTGACAAAGCCCCCTTAGCAGCTAATTAGCCCTGCCGTGCTCTAGGGATGCAATTTCTCATCTGGCAGCACGCCACACTCATGCCTCCCTGCCCAAATGACCCAGTGGCTGGTACTGATCATCTGCGTTGCTGTTCCAGGGGCAGGAGGTTTGCTGCAGAACGGGCGCCCCCAGCTCGGTGAGCAGAGCCAAACCAAGGTTGAGTGAGGAGAAGGGCAAGAAGGGCAGGCGCAGCCGTGGACATGTTCTGGGGCTAAGAACCGTGCAATCAGCCCATAGGCCTCGCACTGTTAGGCAGGCCTGGACTTCTCACTCTTTCCCTTGCAGTTTTCTGCCCTCCCAGCCAGGGACTGAGGAAAGCCCTGCTCCTAGATGCCATGTGCTACGGCCTGGCACGATAGGTACCCATCTGTCCTTGGGGTTCCTGAACCTGGAGAGCGGGATCTGTGAGCACTGGTGCCTCACCTGCCTGGCTCACCTTTGCAACCACAATATGTGCTTAATACCTATTTGTTCAGTGATTGAAGACTTGATGGCCATTCAGCACAGAGAATTAGCCAGGTGAATAAACAGGAGATGTCACAGAGGTTCCAGAATCAATCATGTCTCATTCCTGACTTCCAATACCATGTAAACCAAATGGGGTTCTGCTGTGATTTAATGTCTTAAGGACTAGGTTTATCAAAGTTCCTCCTGACCTAATCCTGTCCTCTAGGAAGGCTTCTCCTTTCCTCATCTGTCCCGAGTGCATGGCCTTTATCTCCCAGGCGGTCCAGATTAGGTGGCACTGGGCCTCCAGGCCTCTGGCTGCTCAAAGGTGGCCCTCTCTGCATGTTCCCTTTCAAAAGCTAGCACAGAAAGGAGGGCCCTAGATGAGGAAATTTGTCCAAAGTCACCCAGTGAGTCATGGGAAGGGCTAGAATCTGGTTATCTGGACCATTCTAGAGCACTTTCACAGTGACAGCTGGCTGCAAACAAGTTTTCATCTAGAAAAATGTCTAAAGTAGCCAGGCATGGTGCTTCACGCCTGTATTCCCAGCACTTTGGGAGGCCGAGGCGGGTAGGTTACAGGTCAGGAGTTCGAGAGCAACCTAGCCAACATGGTAAAACCCCGTCTCTACTAAAATACAAGAAAAAAAAAAATTAGCCAGGCATGGTGGTGCATGCAGCCACTCGGGAGGCTGAGGCAGGAGAATTGCCCGAACCCAGGAGGTGAAGGTTGCAGTGAGCCGAGATTGTGCCACTGCACTTCAGCATGGGCAACAGGGTGAGACTCCATCTCGAAAGAAAGAAAGAAAGAAAGAAAGAAAGAAAGAAAGAAAGAAAGAAAGAAAGAAAGAAAGAAAGAGAAGGAAGGAAGGAAGGAAGGAAGGAAGGAAGGAAGGAAGGAAGGAAGGAAGGAAGGAAAGAAAGAAAAGAGGGGGGGAGAAAGAAAGAAAGAGAAAGAAAGAAAGAAAGAAAGAGAGAGAGAGAGGAGGGAGGGAAGGAAGGAAGGAAGGAAGGAAGGAAGGAAGGAAGGAAGAAAAATGGCTAGAAGTTAGGGCATTGCCTGCAGCCATTGAAAAGCAGCTTTAGGAGCAGATGTCCACGTAATAGAAGGAGATGGGCTAGGGCCTGCCACGGAAGCCAGCAAGCGCGTGGGAGCTGGGAGAGGAAAGGAGCAAAAGACAAGGACAGGCAGTGAGTCCACGGTGCTGTGGGCACAAGGAAGGGGAAAAGAGCCCATGGTGTGCAGAGAACCATGCATCACGATTCTTATTTCTGCTTGCAGCTTTGACTCCCTGCCACATCTCTTCCTGGAAGTGTCTTGGAAGTTAGGCGATTTGATGGGGAAAGGTTCATGGCAGTGCTTGCAAGGCCGAATTCGTTTATTCATCCGGTGGATATTTACTGGGCACCAGGCCTGGGGATACATGGTGAGCGAGGAAGGCATGGGTGGAGCTCATGGCTTTGAGGTGGTGTGCCTGCACACCGCTTGCTGTGACCTTGGCGGGGGCACATGGCAGAGAGGACAGGCTTCAGAACAAGCAGGCGAGGGCAAAAATCCTGTCTCTCTGCCACTGAACAGCTAATGGCCCGGGCAAGCAATTTCACATCCCCGAACTTCTGTTTCCTCATGTGTCAAATGGGGATGATCTCAGGACAGCTTTCCAGAGTAACCACATGAAGCACCCTGCCCGTGCAGGGGCTGACGCACATACTGAGGCATCCAAGGAGCCTCCGGGGGTGTCACATTCAGTGGCTTATTTTCCTCTTAGGATCTTCTCTCCTAGATCCTCTCCCTTGCTTCCCTGTGAAATTCACCACTTTCATATTGAATCATTTGCACACAGGGCTGTTTGCTCACCTGAAGGAAGCTATAGAGCTCAGGTTTCTTTGTTTTTTTTGTTTTTGTTTTTTGCTTTTTTAAGACGGTCCACTCTGTCAGCCAGGCTGGAATGCAGTGGCATCATGGCTTCCTGCAGTCTCACACTCCTGGGCTCAATGAGTTCCTTGAGATCTTCCATCCTCAGCCTCCTGAGTAGCTAAGACTACGGGCTTGCACCAACACTCCTGTCCTCTTTTTTTTTTTTTTTTGAGACAGAATCTCTCTATCACCAGGCTGGAGTGCAGGGGCACAATCTCGGCTCACTGCAACCTCCACCTCCCAGGTTCAAGCAATTCTCCTGCTTCAGCCTCCCTAGCAGCTGGCATTACAGGTGTGCACCACCATGCCTGGCTATTTTTTGTGTTTTTAGTAGAGATGGGGTTTCACCATGTTAGCCAGGATGGTCTTGATCTCTCAACCTCATGATCCTCCCTCCTCAGCCTCCCAATGTGCTGGGATTACAGGCATGAGCCACTGTGCCCGGCCTCTAGTTTTAAAAAGTTTTTGTAAAGATGGGATCTCACTATGTTGCCCAAGCTAGTCTTGAACTCCTGGCTTCAAGTGATCCTCCTGCCTCAGCCTCCCAAAGTGTTATCATTACAGGCATGCACTGAGCCAAGGCCCATGTTTTGACAGAAAGGGAGAGAAAACCTGCCAGAGATGCCATTTCTGAGCCACCCTGCTTGGCAGGGACCTGTGTTCCCCTCATGCAGGCTCATCCTTAGAAGGCTGTGGCCTTATGTGATTGTGCAAAAGTCTCACAACCTTTCTGGATTGATAGTTTGTGGTGACATAAACAATTTTAGTTTGTTTGAAGACTCTTTTGTATACAAAATACAAATAAAACCTAAACCAAAGAAACAGAGCATGTCCGGAGTAGCCTGCCAATCCTCCAAGCCACTGGGTTTCCCAAGCCAGTCCTGTACTCCTCGTGTAGACTCCACACCCACCCTGCTGTCTTCTGGCCTTCACACTAGTAACTACAGCCCGGTGGGATGGGGCCTGGGGGGCCACAGTCCTGGTCCTGTGCAGGTGGCCCTGGAGAGAACGTGTTGGAGAACTTGGAGAGAAGCCCAAGTGGCTGGCAGCACCATGGTGAAAGGCTGACACCTTGTGGCTG